CCATATACAAAAGTCAAATGACTCATTTCATGTTTAACAATTCCCAGTACTGTCCAACGTCCCACAACGTTTTAATAAGATCACTGACTGACACCAGCTGTTCACTTTGTAGGAGTTGAGTTATTACATTTCCAGAAGCGTATATCGTTCCAGTAATTATCACCTCCTGTAGTAATATAATGTTCAATAAAGAAGAATTATAACCATAAATGTTATTAATGACATATATTGTGCGACAACGAACTCGCCGTTGACTGCTGGGGTGTGCTAACGCTAGCCACGATAAACATGTTTCCTAATGAGGTCACTGATTTAGACGGGTCAATGACAGCTAATGTGACAACTCACAGCAGCTTAAGGAGGAAGTTAGCTAATTTAACAATGCTAACAAACCTTTGAACATTACACGTTGGCCCAACAAGTGTTTGAGTGAAATAAATGTAGATAACCCATAAAAAACAGCGCTTATTAGCCAGTTAGCTTACTCACCTGTTAATGCAACTCCAGAATTAAACAGGCTGTACGTAACATTACAAAAATTAGACACATCCTATCACAGACAGATGCAGAAAAACTAATCCATACATTTGTTACTTCTAGGCTGGATTACTGCAACTCTTTATTATCAGACTGCCCCAATAAGTCCATTAAAACGCTCCAATTAATTCAAAACGCTGCAGCACGAGTACTGACAGGAACTAGAAAAAGAGATCACATCTCTCCTGTACTAGCTTCTCTGCATTGGCTCCCTGTAAAATGTAGAATAGAATTTAAAATCCTCCTCCTCACCTATAAAGCTCTTCATGGTCAGGCCCCTTCATATCTTAAAGAGCTCATAGTACCGTATTACCCCTCTAGAACACTACGTTCTCTGAATGCTGGGCTACTTGTGGTTCCTATAGTCTCTAAAAGTAGAACAGGAGCCAGAGCCTTCAGTTACCAAGCTCCTCTCCTGTGGAACCAGCTTCCAGTTGTGGTTCGGGAGGCAGACACCCTCACCACATTCAAGAGTAGGCTTAAGACATTCCTCTTTGATAAAGCTTATAGTTAGGGCTGGATCAGGTGAGTCCTGAACCATCCCTTAGTTATGCTGCTATAGGCCTAGACTATCGGGGGATTTCCCATGGTGCACTGAGCTCCTCTCTTCCTCTCTCTTTCTGCACTCATTCATGTTCCATTAATGCATGTTACTAACTCCACTTCTTCCCCGGAGTTCTTGTGCTTTCTCGTCTCACAGGTTCTCATGGATCCTGGTGGAGCCTCCTGCCATGGTCCTGCTAGATTGCCATTGCCAATACTGTTGTTGCTGTGCACCTGTCTGTCTGTCTCTCGCTCTCTCTCTCTCTGCCTCTCTCTCTCTCTCTCTCTCTCACCCCAACTGGTCGAGACAGACGACCACCCACCTAGAGCCGAAGGGTCTGTCCTAGGTTTCTGCCTTTTAACAGGCAGTGTTTCCTTGCCCTTGTCTCCAAGGTCTTGCTCATGGTGGTACTGTTGGGTCTCTGTAAATAATGTTTTAAAGAGTTCGGTCTAGACCTGCTCTATTTGAAAAGTGTCCTGAGATAACTTCTGTTGTGAATTGGCGCTATACAAATAAAATTGAATTGAAATTGAATTGAATTGCCAGTTCCTCTTTGTTGGGTTGAAACTTTAAATTCGCACTGCACACAAAACTCCCTTTTCTTTGTACCTTGGAATTACCTCTGTGGAATTTTTATGTTTAGGAATTAGCCAAATATTGAGGTTTCTCCGTTCACGGGTGCTTTGCCGTCCAAAGCGTACAGCGGAATGATTCGCGTTTCTCCTGCCAGCTGCGGGAAAGAATGACATCACTTCACATTTGACACATGTACAGTTTTATTGTTCTGCCATGTACACACTGCAGCTGCTTTGCCTTGTTAGCGTTTCAGGTTTATTTTTTAGTAATAATTTGATAAAGTCATACATGCCCGCATAGATATTTGCACTGTTAATATGTATATATTGTTATCACCATGGAAACAAGATGCTCATTTACCAAGTCAATGGTCTCTTTTTGACATTTCTTTTATTCTTCCATTGGATCACACTCAAAGTAAATGGCAACGTGAGGATCATATTGTTACATAAAGTCTCAACTGTAGATGAACACAAAACATACTTTATCAATCTGTACAGAGTTCAACCAGCTTTCCAATCTAATCCTATTTTCTAATGTGGCAAAAAAAAAACTTCATTTGTCTTTGCTTTTAGCTTTAGAACACATTCAGACACACACAAACACACACACCACTCTCAGCTTATATCAGCTGGAGTATAGAGGGATCACAAATGGACGGCAATAAATAAATAAGGAGGTACATATGTGATAACTGAAGTCAGTGGAAATCAGCCTTTGCTTGGATTAAAAGTTGATGTGTCGATCCTTTGATAGCAGTGATAACAAGAAAAAGTCAACTCAACAAGAGCACTGAAAGCGAAGCATCGTTATCGTATATGTGGTGTCTGAAAACTTAAAGGATCAGTCCGGTGTTATTCTATATTTTATTATCGTCAACAAACCCCATGTGATAACCCAACTCACTACTTTCTGACTTCCTTACCGCTCAGCTCCACGCCCACTGGTTCCTACTGAAGGTATAACTCTTTAAAAAAAGCCATAATATACTCTTTAAAAAAGGGGGCTCAGTAATTTTCTAAAACAGTAAAAACTGTTTTAACAGATGGAACTCAAGACGCAAATTTGTTGAACTATTACTATATACAGTGGTCAGAAAGGTACATACCACTTCCTTTAATTTCATTCATTACTGAGATATGAGGAACCAAAGAAACATATTTTGGGGGAAATGAGATGACCTCTTTCTCTAGAGCTGGCTAAAGTGTTTGGTTCATTATTGAATAATAAGATTATAATGAGAAATATTGAAGTATCCTAAATATTTTAGGGAAAAGCTGGAAAGTGTGTAAATTTCTCATTGAATTATAGTTTCTGCCTGACACACAGCGACTGATTTTCAGCATCACACATGATTGGATAGAAAGTGGACAGACAATTAAAATGCGTTAATTGGTTAAAAACAACAGGAAGCAATGGCGAGCTAAAGTCCTCTAAATAAAGTTCTATTCTCCCTGATATGAGGCCATGATGCAGGACAAAAGGGAAATAGTTTTATGACCTTAAAGGTTCACTGCACTTCCATTACGTAAGGACTTGTGAGACAGAATGTCACCCATTATTTGTTTTTAACAGTTTTTGGACAACAATAGAGCTCTATGGCACAGAGGAAGAAGGTATACCGGGCTTTGGATACGCACAATATGATCCATTCACTGTTGGTTTGGCTCCCCACTTGGGATTTGTTGACAAGCAGAAAAACAGTAGCCAGCCTCATCCTTTAAAAGGCGTGATGGAGGACAATTACATGAGCAGGGCTGCAGTCTGAGGTGAGGACAAACAGCACACGTGAAGGTGGAGACAGTGACGACAGGAGCTACGAGGACAGCGGGGGTAAGTGCTCGATCTGCATCAGAACATTCCTCGTCACTACTTTCTTTCTCAGTGGACACACTGTATATACACACACAGAGGTGGCGGTTCTGTAACAGATAATGTGAATGCACTACACACATTAGACAGACAGACACATAAATGAAAAAAGGGCAGATGCATCATGGGATGACAGAAGTTGTGACCGCACAGCCTTTGTAAACAGATCAGCAGGGTGATGTTTGGCTGTATAAAGAGTCCATGATGACACACACATTCACTCCCAATGTATTCTCTATGTAACATTAATCTCATCTGTATGGTGGCCATTCTCCAGCTGAATCGGTGCATGTACAGCAGGTTTAGGTGGGCTAACGTATTAAATGCTTTGAACTTTTTGGACTCCAAGTCCAAGCATGATTTTTTTCATCTCCTCTATGTACAAATGTTTACAAGAGTTCTTCAAGAAGAGGCCAGTGCGTGAGGCGAAACGTCTGAGATGCCCCCCCCCGGCTTTGATCCGCCTTTGGTGTGTCGTACCGCAATCACACCACAGCAGCCAAAAGGTAAAAACAGAAATCACCGTCCGACAAAACTGAAGGGTGCTATCTTTGGTCACAAAAAGAGCAAATGAAACACAATGTGTAGGAGGGAAGAGTGTTAAAGCACAAAAATACTGTTCCATTACTCGACACAAAAGAGGAAGAAATAAAAACTTTAATCCAGTGATGAGCGAGGACAACAAGAAGGGGATCTGGAACACCTTGATCTGAGGAAGAGTACGTCACCAAAGGCTTCAGTGGAAGATGTAGGGAGAGGATCAGTGGAAGCAGCTGCTCAATCAAAGCTCTCCTCCTCCTTATTCTCGTTTCCTTCCTCCTCCTCCTCCTCCTCCTCCCCCCCTCCTCGTCGTCGTCCTCGCAGTAGCGTTGGAGCAGTCGGTGCAGGTGCTGCTGCAGTGCGTCGGGCTGCAGGGCGTCTGGGGTGTCGTCCAGACGCTCCAGGTGCACGTGCTTCCCCTGGGCATCCCTCACCACAGTCCTCTTCTGGGTTCGCGACTTACGCATCTGGCTTCTGCAGGAGCAAAAAAACAAGTGTTACACCACATTCAAGCTAACTCTGATGGACTGTCAATGACTGGCCATGTTTACAGACATGGACTGATCAGTTGGGGTCACTCTGTCAGCGGTTAGATGGGCCACATTTCAGCAGTCACTATTTCAGACTATGGAAATCCAGGACTGCCAATATTAAAACTAAATCATTAAATCAAAAAGAACATTTATGTTCCATTTATGTGCACGATACAACATTTTATTGAAAAATCATACTCTTATTTTCATTAAATTATATTCCATAGTTAATGATTTAATGCATTACTGTTAACTAAAAGTTCAATTTCAATTTCAAATTTTGTCACACATTGTGTATCAAATATAAAATGAATTTTAGTTTACAGAAATAAGTTCATTTTAAATGTCCCATTGTAGAAAGTGAGACATAGATGCTATATAAATACTGTAAAATAAAAAAAAACACACAGAGATTCCGTCTATCGTGTCTATGCTACAGTGACCTAAAATGTGGGTTAACCAAGCATTTTAAACATGGTATGTAAGAAACTGAACACACACCATGCAACTTTGTCCACATTTCATACTTCAACCACATGAATGTTTTCAGTCTGAGGTTTATTTTCAAACTTCTGGCAATCATCATCCAATCGGTTATGAACATATGGAGTCAGTGACATAATAACATGACGATTATGCAGAATGTACTCAAGTCGACTTTATCACATCTAAAACATTTTAAGAAAGGTCAAGGCATAATTGTACACTGTGCTTTTAAACTGTATGTTAAACCACGGCTGCGATAATAACAATAAGTCAGTGTTTGAAATCAAAGTTTGGACGGTAACATTGATGGTTAGAAGACAATCACAGCATGCCTTTTTGTTAACCTCTAAATGCTCTCAGTAAACAGCTGTGTCTTTGTGGTCATTTCACACTCCCATGCTGCTGCCCAACCTTTTAACCACAGAACCGTCGTCCTGCACAATCTCTTTCTCTACTACATGAGGCAGGAGCACTTTCCCAAAGCCTCCAGCATAACTCAACGCCTGGAGGGGAAGAACGAGGGATCAGAAGGAGGAAGGAGCAAAGACAAAACACTGGAAACCTGATAGATATAGAGATCTGCTCAACAGTAGTTACTGACGAGTTATAAAACATATGTATCAGCAGCACTTGTTGAGGACACATTTGACAGAATAACTTTTGGAGACACTGACCTTCTCAAAGTCCTCTCTGGCTGAGGGGAGATCTGCAGCCAGCGAGGAGTCTCCCGTCTGCTTCTCCATCCTCTCGCCTCTCACCACCGTTGTCTTGACAACCTTGCTGACCTTTCGACCTTGCACTGGCTCCACCTCAAACTCTGAAGCTGTGGCGGCACCCAGGGCCAGGGGCTCCGAAAAGGTCAGCTGGAGAGATGTCAAGGCACCAACGGTTATGTACGATCTATAATGTCTTATTTAATTGTATCTACTGTCACTGGGTCAGCATTTCACTACATCCAATGATTTTTATGGCCTTTAAAACAATGACATTCCCATCAGTGTTTTAGCAATAGTTAGCTAAGTTTGCTAACACAACACCACAATGTTAAACATGGCAATACCAGTTAAACATCAGCAGTTTAGCAGCTTTGCAGCCTCACTCATGACTGTAGACGCTGTCTTGTTAATTAGCTGTATGCTATATTTGCCTGATAAAGCTAGCAGTAACAAGTAACTCATTACTTGAGTTTAAAGCACCTGAATGAAGAAGAGATACTGATTTGCACAAATAAATAGCAAATAGCAACCTTATTATTAAATAACCTTATTTATTGTTTCATGAATGGTGCATTTCATTCAAAGTGAGAAATGTTTTGTATTTTGTCAGACTGACTAGTAAATGCATGCACACATATAAATGTTCTTAAAGCAATGCAAATAATAATTTCCTCTATCTAGTACTAATGAAAGTTAGCAACAATAGCTAGCTAGTTTGTGTAGAACATTGGCTACTGAACATGCTTTTATTTTACCTTTCAAATGTATGAGTTTGTCTGTATATTGACAAACTGTGGCATATATACCACACACATATGTCTAATGGATGCAGTTTCAGTGTGTTACAGGTCACGTGCATCTTGGAAACATCAGTGGGCATTTTCCAAACTTCACAAGTCTTGAAAAATTCTCTTCATGATCAAGTATAAAAAATACCAGGTACAGACTCAAAGATACAATAACAATAGCACAATTAGATATCCATTAACAGCAAAAAGTGATATTCATAATTATGATTATGGATAATTATGTATAAGTCACAGAATGGAAACTAAGTTATAAGATTAAAGTCTTGCTGTATATTAAAGTGGCTGGTAGACTACACTGACCTCTTTTTGATCTCCCTCACTGTGGAGCACAGTTCTCTTTACCACTCTGGAGACAGTGTCTCCCTCCTCAATCTGTACCGTCTCCTGGTGAGAGCCCTCAATGGTCACTTCCTGTGTCTCCATGCCATCAGCTGACACATATTTACGAATCACCTTCCGTGTGATCTGATGGAAACGGCAGAAAAAGAACAACTTTGTTAAACTGTAACCTGGTTTTTCATCCCATAGGCCAAGGAGTAGTACTGTGATTTTAAGTGTAATTTTTGGATATTTTGATGTTGTTCACATCTTTGAATGTTCCCTTACTTTCTTAACTACCATGTTGCCATGCTCGTCTGTGTACTTCTCCTCCGTGACAGTCTGTGATGGGATATCTGGTAGGTTATCCGCCTGTAAAAAGACAAAAAAAATACTGTCCGTTCAAATGTTAGTGTACAGAGAGGGAAAATCAACAACAGCGTTAGTTCAGGCAGGCCACGACATCAAGCTCAGCTCTCAATTCCAGCTACACCAGCTGATCGCAGCTGGTCATAAACACACATCAGCTGATCCCTTCAAGCATCCAATTGGCAAATGTCATACAGGGCGCCTCATTTAAGCTGCTTTAGACTATCTAACTTTGCTGCTTCCTCTACAAGTCGCTTTGCAGCCCAACTCCTCTTTTTATGCTGTATCTGAATCAATGTTATTTCTGCTGCCATTGATGATTGCTTTGTTCTGTAGCCTAGGGGGTCTTTGCTGCTACTCTCCTTGTCTTAAGCTTTCCACGTATGCATGTGGAAGGGCAAGGAGGTCCTAGAACAGAGCCATACTGCCAAATATAACAGTCTGCATTTGGACATAAAGTTTTCTTTTGACATAAGTGGTCCTGACTGCAATTATATAAATCACTCAAACATGACCAACACTTTTAGGCGACAATGTCAAATTTAAAATTTTTTACACATTGATTTAGTTTTTCAATATTGAATTTTTTGTCATTTCTATAACAAAAAGATAAAATGAATGTACACAAAAACAATAAAAGTAGGTGAGCATGCACAAACAACAGCTTATGTGGTTAAGAGGTCCTCTTCCACCCTTAGATTTTATTTTCTGCATTGCATAAAATAACTTTGTGCCAAGCAAGTATAAGAACCATGTAATTCAAGTCCAGCATGAAACCACCAAGGAGCACTAAATCTCTGCTACCCATTAACCCTGCATCACTCCACAGTGCACTGGGGCTGCACAGCTGCATCATGCTTGTTTACCTGAATGATAACTCTGCGTCGGACCACCCTGGTGGTCAGCACCTCCTCCTCTGAGCTATCAGAGGACAGCAACCCTAGTTCCTCTGCTATCTCCTGGGAGACAGCACACAACCAGCATGGGTCAATATATCAGATCTGCAAACTACAGTACACTACTGCAGACAGCGGCTGTTCCTTCTTTTCCCTTAACCTCACTTTTATGTTCACTTGCCAAAAAGGTACATGTACAGACAAATGGAATGAGGAAATAAAATAAAAAATTGTATGGCTGTACACAATAGTGAAGTGAGATGAAGAGAAGGCACAGTTATGCGAACACTTTAAACATGCAAGGATGGGAACCAGTGTGCAAAACACGAGGAGACACCCCAATTTACATCTAGAATCCCCACAAAAATGTCCACATCAAATGTATTTTGCAATGTTGACAGGTGAGGAGCAACACAGAAAATATCCCTGACTGAGTAGACAGCTGATGTACACTGGTGCCGCAGCTGTTAAAAAGGACACCGATGCCAATTATACTTCTGCAAACTATGCATTAAATAAAAGTGAAACAATTTATTTAAACTTTAAATGCAATTTTGCTACTCATCTCCATGTTTGAAAAGGCTCATTTATTACTTTAAAGTCAAACAGACATAAAAAAAAAAAAGTCTATATGCAAAATATCAATCCTTATTTAGTCAATAGAACAATCTTGGAAGCAGTCCTTGTATCTCAAAACAATCTGATAACCAAAATGAGATTTAGAGTCGGCTGTTATTCTGCACAGGGGCAATGTAATCCATTGAAAACCTGAAGAGTGGTTTTTGCCTCTGCAGTTCAACAGGATGATGTGCACTGGTACAGCTTTTGCCTGTACTGCCCTGCGGCCAGCTTGACGCATATTTGATTAAGGGTCAGGTCATGAGTCAGAACTAATTTAGAGATTTTTGGGTGTAACAGTTTGGCTCCAGTGCTCAGCTTTGTGGGTGCAGAGCGAAATGTACCTTGATACCTATGCAGTAAGCCAACATGGTTATTCCAGGACGTTCATTTCTATGGGTTGGAAAGTGTTTCAAATGATAATGTAAAAATCTAATTTATTTGGAAAGCTGTACAAGGCTTGCACAGCATGCTCCAATTTACTTTGTTTTCCCTGAGTCCTCATTTACCCAAATCTGTGAAGGTGACACAAAGTTAAATATAATATGAAATATACTGGAATTTTCCTACTCTATTTTTCAAAATACAGTGCACAGCAAGGGACCCACTGATTGTCAAAGGGTATTTCACACACTGATGGGGGCAACAACAAGCAGAAAACAAAGAATGCAAAACAGTGCAGATGTGAACAGAGTTATATGTTATAGAATGTAAATGTCATAAATGCTGACTTTAAAATGAGGAACTGTAAATACATCATACCACCATTGTAAAAAAAACTGGTGTCACAATATTTAATACAAAAACTCATCATGGTTATTTTCTTGAAAATTTAGGCACTCATGCACGTTAGCCTCATTTAGTCCATAAAGTGCAAACGTGTGTTTTATTTTCTATGTCTTGGATGCAGCACCACAGCAACCAGCCTGGCCAGGCAATGACACCAACCACTGCAGTCTTGTGCTCATGCTCATCCTCTTACCCTTCCCAGGAAGTCATCATCATCGTAATACCCTGCCTGATCTCTGGAAGGAAGCTCCTCACACACAGGGAGGTCGCCCTCTATTCGACACTCCCGTGACCCCTCTGAATCATAAGCAAATTCACCAAGACTTTCACTGCCAGAAGAGAAGCGCTTGTTATCTTCCACGTGGAGGTAAGGGAGAGCAGTGTACCGAGGACTCCCTTTTAGGAAGTCGACATCAAGGCTACTCCCAGGCATTGGAGACGGGGGTTCGGAGATATGGTAGGTAATCTCATGTTCCCGTTTCACCTCTTCTGGTTCAGAGAAGTCGGAGAAGGCTTGTCTGCAGTCAAAGAATTCCAGATCCGAGTCAGAGTGCTGTGGAGATTCCGATCCCTTACTGAGTTCTTTTGGTAGGACTTTTGGATCCTCCGATTCAAAATCTGAAACAGTTTTCTCAAATTCTGAGAGGACTCTGTGAAAGCCTGGGGAAAACTTGAAGTCTTCAGCCTTTTCAGACTCTCCCTTGGTGACCTGAGCTGAAATGGAGTCACTGAACACTGGAGACACTGGACTCAAATCATCTGAGGAGGCTTGGCTACATTCAGAAACTCTCAGGGTTTGATGTCCTGAAAATACTGCTTCATAATCTGGTGGTACCAAAAACTGATTTGACATAGGTGAAAAAAGCTCACTGGACTGTGCTTTCTTAGGAATAAACTCCCAATCTGAGTACCCATATGAACGGTCTGACTTTACATCTGTTTTCTCAGATGCGGGTAGAACTGGAGTAACAGTTCTGTGAGTTGTGTGTGAGTTCTGGTCAGGTAGCAGTAGGGGAACTGATTTAAGCGGCTTGTCATCAGCAAACAGCATACTTATTTTACTGCCGTCTTGTGTCACTGTTGTAGCAGACAACAGCTTGCTTTGCACCTCATCATCTGTATGAAACTGTGTTTCGTCTGGTGACTGAGGAGTAGCCTGTAAGTAAATATGATAACATCGAAATAAGTTCAAGATTTTTAAAAATCAGTGTACAGGTTCTTATGCATCATTTAATTGACCTCAGAATTTCACCAGGTTAGCAACACTGAGCACTGAAACATTATTTTCCATCCAGTCACTATCTCATTAGGTTTAGAACAATAATGTGAATCCCAGACATGCAACTTAGCATCAGATCTGAAGGAACAGTGAAAAGTATGTTAACATTCCAGTCCAATTCTGGACACATACAAGGAATTCACTGCACTCCAATTTGTTATTTGTTCATCAAGGCACACAGAGTTATTTCCTCCATCCAAATGGCATGTTAATGAATTCATCCAAAATAAGTGATTCTTTGCTTGATTGTCATGCTTGCTCTGTCTTACCCTTTGTGAGGCTGTCTTGCTCTTTAGTTCTTCAGCACTGATGTGTAGGATCTTCTTTTCCTTTCTTTTTGCATCTTGAACTGGCAATTCTTCCACTTTACAGTCTTTTTGGAAGTCTTCCTCAGAAACAGTGGTTTGTAAAGTTGAGATACTTTCAGCTTCTGATTCATGCTGCACCGATTCTTTGTATGACAAAACTTCTGATTGTGGTCCTGTCATTTTTTGCCAGTCAGGTTTGACATGTCCATCTTTAGACCTTGTCTCACCAGTCTTAATTAGTAATGGTGACACAGCCAATGGTCTGTTGTTAGGTAATGATGAAGACTGATCGGGCAATAAAGGAGATGTCACATGACTCAAAAGTTCAGTCCTCTCAAAACAAAAGCCTAATTCCTCTTCTGACTCAACAGATTGAGGGCTTAGTGGCCTTGGGCTGTCATCAATCCAACAATCAATAGGTAAAGCAACAAACTCAGAGTCTGATGACAAAGACAATGGTGAAGATGATCTATCAAGGTAGGTAGCATCCATAAAGTAAGAAGACAATATTCTCATAAACTCAGGTACTGGTGAGTCAGGCAAAAGTTGTCTGAACTCATTGACAGATGATATGGATTCGGGTGAGGATGGTCTGTCAGTCTCAGCAACTCTTGATGATGTGACTAGAAGCTCACACTCTGAATCTGAACCCATTGATTCAGGTGATGATGACCTATGTGTAGTGGTGTACTCCTCCAAAGACACTGTAAACTGCGGGATGGGAGAGTCTGGAGACAGTGACCTGTTCTCATTTAATTCAGGCATTGATTCTGGAGATGATGCTCTTTTGTCAACCATTTGCATGGCTGATTCAAGCGACATAGGTCTGTATTCAGGCAGTGACTGAGATGACAATGGCCTATCTCTCTCATTCTGATCTTCTGATAGTGCAGATTCTGGAGATGATGGCCTGCATTCTGCAAACTGAGATTCCAAATTTGCAAATGACATATAATCTACATCTGATGCCACAGTTTCAGGCGAAGATGATGCTGATCTCAAGAACGTAACACATTCTGGCAATGCCATTGTAAATTCAGGTAAGGGGGAATCTGGTGAGAGTGGTCTAAATTTATTGACTGATTTTACAGATTCTGGTGATGCTGCTCTTGCTTCATCCACCATGACTAAATTAGGTGATATGGGTCTGAAGTCTGTCCAGGACTCTGGTGAATAGCATACGCCATCATCCTCTGCATCAGATACTGATACAACCACACAATCATCATCAGATTGAGCCCCAGGGGTTGGTATTTCAAATGTGTACTTAGCCTGTCTGTATGGAGTTGCTCCTGAAGACAGAATGTTTTCAATCATTGGTGGAGGTGACTCTGAAACAGGTATGTTAGATATGACTTGTGCACTTTTAGTGCTGATAAAGCTGTCATCAGCTGTGGCTGTGTCTGTTGTAGTAAACTGATGTGTCACCTCTGAAGGTGGTATTGTGGCAAAGGTGTCTTGATCATTTTTATCTTTTACTTTATTCTCTTGTTCATCATCTGAAACACTCCTTTCATAATCTATTGCGCTGCCAATAAATTGCAAAAACCCTGTTTTACTGCTGAAAGTTTCTCCAGTATACTGAGGATCACGTACTTGAGAAATCAGCTTCCACAGCTCTGCATCATAAATGAGATTATACTCAGCTACCATGATACCAGATTTCTCAGGTGAGGTCAGTGCCATAGCTGTTGATAAAACAGTACTATCAATGGTTGCTTCACTGGCAGTTTGGACTTTTAACTCAGTTACTGATGATTTGGATGCCAACAGTAATTTGTCCTTATTGTATTCAATAGACTCTGGCGATGACCTCTCTTCTGTACTAAATGGGTCTAAAGCCTGAGACAAATCATCTGAATCTGAAAATTCAGTGGGTGATAGGTCTCCCCCAGTCATTACATTTTCTACAAATGTCTTTGTAAAATCAGGTATTGGTGACTCAGGGGGCAGGGGTTTACATTCATCCTCTGATCTCTCTGACTGAGGTGATAGTGGTCTCATGTTAGTGGCTTCCCATTCATATAAAACCAAACCACATTCCATACCTGACAATACTGATTCTGGGGACGAACAGCTATAGTGTGTTTCTGCTGTCATAGTCTCAAGAACATTTTGTGTAAACCATGGAAGAGGTGAGTCTGGCGACAACCTCTTATGTTCATCAAGTGATTCAGTACAAACTGGAGATACTGTCCGGATGTTTCCAAGTAACATCAATGCCACAGGTGACAAAGGTTTGTATTCTGGTATGGAATCAACCGATAGTGGTCTCTCTTGTACTTCTGATCCTACTGATTCAGGTGAATCTGTTCTATCCTCAGAACCATAATTCATGGATATTAAACACTCATTCAAAGCATACTCAATATCCGATTCAATGGATTCAGGGGAGGGTGATCTATACCCAACATTCACAATAACACGTTCAGCCATTGTTGATGGGTATTCAGGTATAGGTGAGTCTGGTGACAGAGCCTGGTATTCATCTCCAGATGCTCCTGAGCCAGGTGAAGAGGGTCTGTTGTCTAGTGATCCTAGGCTTAAAACAATGTATTCTATATCTGAACATGTTGACTCAGGGGATGCTGACCTATGTCCAAAAATAGTTCCAGGTAATCCAAACACTGGTTGCATAAAGTCAGCCACAGGTGAATCAGGTGAAAGTCTCATTGATGCTTGAGATTCAAGAGATGAAGGTCTGCTTTCCAAGAATGTTGGGAAAGGTAATTCCAGTTCCGAATCTGACAACACTGACTCAGGTGTAGTGGATCTTAAGTCCATGTGAGATATGGTGGACTCATATAGTGCGTGTGTAAATTCAGGAATGGGTGAGTCTGGCGAAAGAGATCTAAGTTCATCTTTGGATGCAGCTGAACCAGGAGATGCTGCTCTGTCCTCGAAAATCCAAGGAAGACACAAATCAGTCTCCAAATCGTCATCTGAATATACTGATTCGGGTGATATGGATCTGTATCTTACTCCTAACATAGTGAGTGCACTCATGGTGTACTGGGGTAGTGGAGAGTCAGGAGACAAACATGTAAAGTCAGTGTCAGACACCCCTGATTGACAGGATTCTGCTCTGTCCTCAAAATCAAACATCTGTGAAATCAAAGGGGCATATTCTATTTCTGAAGCCTCTGATTCAGGTGATAATGACCTATAAGCATTAAACTTAGGATATGTCTCCAGCAAAGCCTGTCTGAAGTCAGGAAGAGGGGAATCAGGAGAAAGTCTTCTGTATTTACTTACAGATGCTAAGGACTCAAGAGATGAAGGTCGGTCTTCTATGATACCTAGGAAAGATAACTCAATTTCATTGTCCAAATCGGACAACACTGACTCAGGTGTAGTGGATCTTAAGTCCATGTGAGATATGGTGGACTCATATAGTGCAGGTGTAAATTCAGGAATGGGTGAGTCTGGCGAAAGAGATCTAAATTTATCTTTGGATGCAGCTGAACCAGGAGATGCTGCTCTGTCCTCGAAAATCCAAGGAAGACACAAATCAGTCTCCAAATCGTCATCTGAATATACTGATTCGGGTGATATGGATCTGTATCTTACTCCTAACATAGTGAGTGCACTCATGGTGTACTGGGGTAGTGGAGAGTCAGGAGACAAACATGATAGATCAGTGTCAGACACCACTGATTGACAGGATTCTGCTCTGTCTTCAAAATCAAACATCTGTGAAATCAAAGGGGCATATTCTATTTCTGAAGCCTCTGATTCAGGTGACAATGACCTGTAAGTATTAAACTTAGGATATGTCTCCAGCAAAGCCTGTCTGAAGTCAGGAACAGGGGAATCAGGAGAAAGTCTTCTGTATTTACTCACAGATGCTAAGGAGTCAAGAGATGAAGGTCGGTCTTCTATGATACCTTGGAAAGATAACTCAATTTCCATGTCCAAATCGGACAACACTGACTCAGGTGTAGTGGATCTTAAGTCCATGTGAGATACGGTGGACTCATATAGTGCGGATGTAAATTCAGGAATGGGTGAGTCTGGTGAAAGAGATCTAAATTCTTCTTTGAATGCAGCTGAACCAGGAGATGCTGCTCTGTCCTCGAAAATCCAAGGAAGACACAAATCAGTCTCCAAATCGTCATCTGAATATACTGATTCGGGTGATATGGATCTGTATCTTACTCCTAACATAGTGAGTGCACTCATGGTGTACTGGGGTAGTGGAGAGTCAGGAGACAAACATGTAAGATCAGTGTCAGACACCACTGATTGACAGGATTCTGCTCTGTCTTCAAAATCAAACATCTGTGAAATCAAAGGGGTATATTCTATTTCTGAAGCCTCTGATTCAGGTGATAATGACCTGTAAGCATTAAACTTAGGATATGTCTCCAGCAAAACCTGTCTGAAGTCAGGAACAGGGGAATCAGGAGAAAGTCTTCTGTATTTACTCACAGATGCTAAGGACTCAAGAGATGAAGGTCGGTCTTCTATGATACCTGGGAAAGATAACTCAATTTCCATGTCCAAATCGGACAACACTGATTCAGGTGAAGAGGACCTTAAATCCATGTAAGATATGGTAGACTCATGTAGTGCCTGTTTAAATTCAGGAATGGGTGAGTCTGGTGAAAGAGGTCTAAATTCCTCTTTAGATGCATCTGAAACGGGAGATGCTGCTCTGTCCTCAAAAATCCAAGGGAGACACAAATCAGTCTCCAAATCGTCATCTGAATATACCGACCAAGGTGATGCAGATCTATATGTTACTGTCAACATGGGATGTTCAGTATGGGTATATTGAGGTACTGGAGAGTCTGGAGGCAGACACTGGTGTTCATGGAAAGACGAGATTGATTGTGGAGAATTTGCTCTACCCTCGATTTCAAACAGCTGAGACATTATTGGAGCGGGTTCTACATCTGATGCCACTGATTCTGGTGATAATGACCTGTAAGCATTAACATCAGCATATGGAACTAGCATAGCTGGCCTGAACTCAAGTATAGGAGAATCAGGCGAGAGTCTGCTGTATTTACTGACTGATGCTAAAGACTCAGTAGATGAAGGTCTGTCCTCAAGCAACATCGAGAAAGATGGTTCTATTTCCACTTCCGAATCTGACGACACCGACTCCAGTGAAGAGGATCTATATTCCATGTATGTTTTTAAGGACTCTTGTAGCAAATGTCTAGACTCTGGAATAGGGGAGTCTGGTGAAAGAGCTCTAAACCTATTCAGAGAGCCTGTTGATTCAGGAGAGGATGACCTGAAATTTGACATTAATGTCAGTGATGTAGGTGAGAAAGGTCTAAACTCTGATTCAGAATCAGTGGACAGTGGTCTTTCCTCAACTTCAACTAGTTCTAGTGACTCTGGAGAATCTGGTCTATCTTCAATATCAGGTGAGGAATTAATCAAAGGTGCATACTCAACATCTGATGTAGGTTCTTCAGGGGATGCTGACCTAAAACCAACAAACGATGGAAAACGTTCAACAACTCTTGCTATGAATTGAGGTACAGGGGAATCTGGTGACAGGGACCAGTGTTCATCTCCGGATGCCACTGAATCAGGGGATGGAGGTCTATGATCATCGGATACTGATGCAAATGACCCATCTCTATACACTATATCTGAATAATAAACTGATTCAGGTGATGTAGATCTGTATGCAGCAGTTGAAATACTTAGGTGTAGTATAGGCTGTCTGAATTCAGGTATGGGTGAATCTGTTGAAAGTGCCCTGAACTCATTTTCAGAATCGGGTGTGAAGGATCTCCCTTGCACCTCAGAAAATAGCATGTCCAGAACATCATTTTCAGTGTCTGATATTACAGATAAAGGTGATGATGACCTGCTCCCAGAAATGATCACAGCTGATTCTCCATATTGCCTAAACTGTGGAAGAGGAGAATCTGCTCCTAAAGTCCTAAACTCACTAACCGATGTGATTGAATCTGGAGATGAAGTTCTTAATTCTGTTGTTATCATCAGTGACTGAGGTGACATAGGCCTAAATTCTGTTACTGATTCTGGTGACAATGGCCTCATGTTAATTTCTGATGTCACTGAATCAGGAGAATCTGATCTGTCTTCAATGCCAAATTCTGAAGGGAAAAATCCTGATGAATCCTCCAAATCTGAGGAACCTGACTCGGGTGAGGATGATCTATATTCATTAGCTAAAACAAAAGAGTTCTGTAACTCTGGCCTAAAGTCAGGCACTGGTGAATCAGGAGAAAGAGGCCTATGTTTGCTCAGTGATAGTTCTGATTCAGGAGATGATAACCTTGACACAGTAGATAAAGTAGCAACATCCAATTGCTCAAGTTCTGTATCTGTTACAGGTTCGGAAGATGGTGGCCTGTGACATTCCAATGGAGTTTCAGGAATTGTGACAGGAAATTGGGGAGTGGGTGAATCTGGACTCAAAGCTCTATACTCATCCACAGAGATCCCTGTCTCCTGAGAATCAGACCTTAGAACACTCAGTAACTTCAGGCCCTCAGGTGAGAGAGGTCTATATTCTGCTGCAGAGTCAGGTGACATTCGCCTACCTGTCACTTCTGCATCTGCATCAAGGGGATCAAATTCTTTATTAGACTCCACAAACACTTCAGCCCTGCTTACAAAAGCTTCTCCTACATAATGGGGGTCATATAGTTGACACATCAGCTGGTTTGCTGTCAATGTTGCACCAGCAACCGATTGCCTTTCCTCAAGCATGGAAACAACTGATTCAGGTAAGTCTGCGCTCTGGTCTGTAAAAGCCTCTGAAGTTGAAAACCCATATTTGATATCTGAAAGTACTGGCTTGGGTGAAGAGCACCTGTAATCAACAGCAGCAGTAACTGATTCAGGTGCTGCAGATCTAAATTCTGGAACATCTGCATCAGATGAATCTGCAATGTCCAACTTCAAACCATCCTCTAACACTCCCTTTTTCACATCTGAGTTTCCCAGAACATACTCAATTCTTGTTCCAGCATACTCAAATACACCAGTTTTACTGCAGAAAGTCTCCCCAACATAGTGAGGATCACGTATTTGAGAAATTAGCTTCCAAAGTTCAGCATCATAAACCAGTCTATATACTGGCACCCTTATCGCTTTCAAGGTTTGACTATTACCACATAAATGTCTCTCTATGGTCTCTGATACTTGTGATTCTGGTGAGTCGGGTCTCTGCTCATAAATGCTTATATCTACACTTGATTGTGTAAATTCAATATCAGAAACCTCTGACTCAGGAGAAGATGATCTGTGAGCAATAACTGAAACTGATTTAGTCGTATTGAATTCTGGTATCGGTGAGTCACCTCTGTAGTCATCTCCAGAAACTACTGAATCAGGTGAGGATGGTCTCACTTCAGAGGACAGTTGTGATAGAGACAATGCCCCATATTCTAAATCTGAACAAACTGAAACAGGTGATGAGGATCTTTCCAGTGTGGTCCAAACAACTGGCAAAGCCTCTCCAAACACAGGAATGGGTGACTCAGCTGAAAGTGGCCTGTTTTCATCAACAGAATCTGGGGATGACGGTCTGTTTTCAGCAAATGATAATGGCAAAGAGACAGACACACATTCTAGATCAGAGGTTATTGATTCAAGTGATGAAGACCGATCCAATCGAGCAGTTACAACTGATTCTGGTAAAGATGGTCTAAAATCAGGAATAGGTGATTGAGGTGAAAGTGCCCTGTATAAGTTTGCAGATGCTACTGAATCACAAGATGCTGGTCTGTCCTCACAAACAAATGAAATGTTTAAATCAGTCTCCAGATTCAGATCTGACAATACTGACTCTGATGACACTGATCTGTGATAAACTTGTAAGGGTCTAGAGAAAGAGGTAAAGTACTGAGGAATAGGGGAATCTGGTGTTAAAGCTCGCTGACTGTCTACAGATCTCCCTGAGAGGGAGGAATCTGGTCTAAGTGTGTCCAGCACCAATAGCGATTGTGGTGACATGGGTCTATATTCTGCTTCAGAATCTGGTGAAAGTGATCTTTGGTAATGTAAGGATTGCAAAGCAGCAGCTTTGTCTTCAATGGTTGCATAAGACTCTGTCCTTGTTCCAGCAAACTGAAACACTCCTGTTTTACTTATGAAGGTTTCTCCTACATACTGAGGGTCACGAATTTGAGAGATGAGCTTCCAAAGCTCTGCATCATATGCTAGACTGTAGACTGACACTGAATCGTCTGTTAGGAATAAAGGTACATCATGCTGAGGTACAGAAAATGAGGACTCTCCAGGTAATTGCTGATCTTCGATCTTTGAACTAAATGCCAATGACAATGGTAGATCATTAGATGCAGTTTCTGGAGACAAAAGAGGTGACACAGCTTTATCAGACCCTTGTGTCTTTTCATGTATTTTAGTTATAAACTCAGATGAGTCTTTTTGAAATTTTGTAACATTCTGCATAGATTCATAATCAGTTTTGATTGATTTCTTGGACTTTTTCTTTCTAGTAGACTTGGTCTTCTCAGTTGCCAGACTGTGCATTTCCTCCTTTGAGTTTCCTCTATCATATGATAATTCTTCTGTAATTACACCAGACAAGACCTCAACTCCTGTTGGTGGTGGGACAATGTTTTGGTCAGACTGAGAGCCATCAGGTACTATTGATTGTGCCTTGGGATGTTCATTTTTATTAAATCTCATCTCATTTTCTTCTACAGATTTTGATGACATAGAGGTTGATATTTCTTCTTCAGTTTTTAAATTTTCTAGATCAATAACTATGTTTGTTTTAGTTTCTTCAAAAATTGGAGCTCCCGTTAGTTCAAGTGTCATATCTTCCTCATTAGGCAGGTCAGTTACAGGATAAGGCAATGGCCCACAATCACTTACCGAACCACTAGAATCAGGAAATAAAGGCCTAGTCTCAAAATATGATACCAATGGCAAAGCCTCATGTTCTGTATCTGAAAACACAGATTCTGGTGATGATGAATGGTAATTTATAGTAACAGAATGATGCACAGATGGCATAAATTGTGGTATAGGAGAATCTGGAGACACACACTCATTGAATGTTCCTGATTCAGGGAAGGATGCTCTAATTTCTAACACTGACTGTGGAGATACTAATCTGCAGTCAGGCACTGACTCTGGTGAAAGTGGTCTTTCTTCAATATCAGACAAAGATATGACAACCCAATCATCATCATCCTCAGACACAGATTCCACTGGTGTTGGCGGTTTGTTCTCTGTGAGAGATACTAATGGTTCAGGTGATTTTGTTGGTAGGGAGTCCCATGCTACCGCTGCAGATTTAATTGACTCAGGGGAGGGTAATACATGTCCAACCACAGGTAAGAAAGATTCTGAATCATCTACAGATGCAACAGAAGCAGGTGATGAAGCTCTATATTCATAGTTAAGTGATGCTGGAGATATGGACCCATATTCTACATCTGAGCATACAGGTTCCGGTGAAGTGGATCTCTCACCTATCGTTAAAATAACTGATTCAGGCCAGTTGTGACTGAATTCAGGTATAGGTGAATCAGGTGACAATGCTTTATATTCATTCACAGATGTTACTGATTCTGGGGACGTTGCTCTGTCTTCAAAAATGGTTGATAACAAAAGTTCTGTTTCAATTTCCATATCTGATGACGCTGACTCAGGTGACAATGATCTAAACCGACAAGTTGTAACAAATTCTGAGACGTTTCTAAACTGTGGGACAGGAGAGTCTGGTGGACAATGTGCAGTGATGGATCCAAAGGATTCAGGAGATGATGGTCTCATCTCATGGAAATCAGGAGACAGAGTCATATGGTCAGAGGATGTGAAAAACCACTGCACCTCTTCGAAAATGACAGACTCAGGTGATGATGCTCTGTCTTCTATGTCAAAAGTTAAGGATTGAGGTGAGAGGGATCTCTCACCACTATAATCACTGTCTAATGATACCGGCCTTCCAAATGGTCTTTTGTTTGAAACCATTGGCGTTAATGGTCTTTCCTCTGCTTCTTGTGTGAACAATGAAGAGCCTCCTGGCACACTCAGTAATGGTTGCCCCTCTGCAGAAGCCCTAACATCACCAGTTTCCCATGGAAAAACAGGAGGTGGTAGGGGAGACAAGGGCCTAAACTGAGGTATTGGAGAATCAGGTGCAAGAAAATTCAGTTCATTTACTGATGACACTGATTCTGGGGATGAGGCTCGACTCTCCGTCAGTAACATTGCTGTATCAATCACACATTCAGATGATGATGATCTATCATAATCTAAGCTATGAAGTTCACAAATGTTTTCAGAAGTTGATTCTGGTAAACAGGATCTATATCTGGATGCTTCAATCTCACCTGCAGCTTCTACAGTAACAACAACCTCAGGTTCATTTTGTCTGATTGACAGTGTTTTCTCAGAGCTGCATTCAGCACTTTGTATAACTGACACAGCATGATCTACTAAATTAACATCTATTTGCTCACAAGTTGAGTCATGTGACACCTGAATTAAGCTGGTTGGGCTCATGAGTTCTGTTTTGGCTGGATTGGCACTGGCAACAGAGGGACATGCTAATGCCTGAGTGGCAATATCGTGGTTTTGATTAATGCCATGAATAGATTTGACATCAAGGTCACCTGAAATTGATGCCTGATAAACATCAATCTCAAGCACAGAGTTTGAAATATCTTTATCAACAATTGTGTGTTTAGCAGCTCTCCCAACCTCATCTTTCTGGACTCCAGCTTGAATTATGTCTTCAGGTACCACAGACACACTTGCACTATCTGAATCCATCAGGTCAACATCATATCCATACAGGACTTTATACAGTCGACGTGAAACTTCATCCATGTGTCTTCCGGTCACTTGTTTGGTATGCATGGATTGTGCCGTTGCATTAACACAACCAGAAGTAGGCTGAATAGGTGGAAACCTTTGTTCACTAGTCAGTTGTTGCGTAAAGGAACTCTTTTCAGACATCTCATTGGTTTCCATGAACTCCATAGACAGTTTCCTGAAGTCTTGCTCAGCTTGATCACACTCAATCAAGCTGTCTCCAAAATCAGCCATGGACAGTGGTCGACTCTCGCACACACCTGTTCGAGAGCTATTGGATGACTCTCGCCAAGGCAATGGTGACAAATAATGAGCATTGTATTCAGAATGCATGGTTTGTAGACACTCCAAGCTCCACTCCTCTCCCCCCTCTGCCCCCTCACATCCAGCAGGCCCCTCATCATCACACGGTTCAACAGTGGGATAAGGAAGTGGGGTAATCTGGGCACCCAACTTGGGTCCTCCTTTGTACACAGGGTCTATTACATGGGATCGGAGTTTGTAGGGAGAGGTGCGGTACAATGTGAAGAAAGGACTTACTTGTTTAAAACTGCTTGAGTGTATTGTGTCTGTCAATTCCTCATATACTCTTTGTGATGAGCTGTGAAAAAAAGAACAATAGAAGCTGATATAAAGAAGGCTTTCATATAATCATAGTATTCCTTCATATTGTCACAATGTGTAAACAAAATATGTTCTACAAAATACTAATTTAATCCATGTAAACTTAAGCGGTAATGATCACACAGTATGTATTAAAGTTGAAAGTCTAGTTCAAATCTAAAAAGTCATTCCCTTTTTAAGACAAAAATCTAGGTCAAAGTGATTTTCAAATGTATCATTATTGACTAGAAGAAAAATAGTAGCAATCTATGTGCTACAGTAAGTAGTTGGCTATCTTACCAGCAAACTAAAGTTAGCAGTTCACCTTGTGTCTTGTGGATGTTTGTTTGGTAGCTCATTCAGCAAACTGAGGTATAGTCCATGCTTTCAGATAAAAATAAAACAGCTAGAAAGGTAATGTGGGTGTGGTATGAATTAAACTTTCTGCATCACTTACTATGTTGTCTCCATCTCTTTTTGTAGTTTCTCTTTCTGGGCATTTCTAAGAAGGCCTGTTGCTGTGGAATCTGTCTCTGATCTTCCCATTGTCTCGTGAAGTGATGACAAACTGGAGGACAGATCCTCTGCTGACACCATGGGTACCTCTTGTCCTGAGCCTGGACTCCTTCGTGTGGCCTCTGTACGCCTGCCTGGCCTGGGACTGTCAATGTCTTCATGAAGGGCAGAAAAACCTGACAAAAGGATACAGTGCAGGCAGATACAGAGAGTTAAAATAACTCTGAATCTCATAGGAAAGCAATCGATTAGGATCTCCTACAAGACATATCAACAACCCAATCCCCAGTCTGCTTCAAGTTAATATTAGCTTGTGTACCTTCACTATGATCCAGTGCTATGGTCCGCTCTATTTCTGCATAGGTGTGTGAGGATGTCTCATCCTGAGTGGACTTGATGATCTTGGTTTCAATGAGGTGAACAATATCCATTCGGTTGATCTTGGTCAGTCTTTTGATCAGTGTTGTTTCTGGTGACAGAAAACAGACTTTAAAGTTACACTTTACATTTTAATAAGAGCTTCTACTAGTTTAAAAAGTAATTATGTAAAATGTGTTCCCTACTTATCACTAACCTGTGGCATGCTTTCCCTCTCTCTCTGCCCAGAGTTTCAAAAGGGCATGGCTTTGGTCTTGAAGTGAGTTGGGGTTTTCAATTCTTATCAGGTTGATCCTCTCTTCACTGAAGTCCAGCTCTCGTGCCAATTCTGTGGAGAAAAAGAAGATATAATGATTATGACGATCGGAAGATACATTCGAAATGTTTGAAATTATGTTTCTTGAGAATCTGTCAAACATTAAGTAATACATAATGTATATTTTAAGTTTGATAGCTTGATCACTGCTACTAAGGTGCGACTCACCTGTCCAGCTGAAGCCCAGATGGTCAGCTATAATGGCCAACCGTTGCTCTTTTCTCTCTGCTTCATCCTGTGGATCTACTGTAAATACCACCAGACAGCCATGAGCGGTCAGAGCCGCAAGGTATACCAAACCAAGTCACATTCACAAATAGTAGCGAAAATAATTATCTTCACTGGCTTTCTTGACAGTATTTTTGTCCAATTCATGATATCAAATTAAAGAATTGTAACCTAGACCAAAGTATTGACATTACATGTGATTGTCGAAATAATGATCTACTCTTTAATCTTTAACACACTTTAGTCACTAAGTTGTTTTCACAAGTTCCATAAAGCCTTTAAGTCAATCTTGAGATTTTCAGCACACATAGAAGGAAAGAGAGACGATATAACGAACACAAACACAGCTCAAGTGACACAGCCACCAAGATTCTTCAACTACAATGGGACTTAACTACAAGAGACAGAGAGGCAGCACCTTTACAGCTACAGTGTACTAATGAGGCACAAGAGATAGAGAATAGCCCCTTAAACTGGGGGGATACCTTGACTTTGGGCTTTATCATCTGGAATTCGCTGCATCTGTGTCTCAACAGGGTCGTCCCAGAGTGGTCTAATAGGAAAGATGTCTCCTGAGGGAGGGAACTGCATCTCAGGGAAAGTTTCTCTTTCTATGATTGATGGGTCAATGAGACTGCTCTCATCATCTGAGTTGGCAGCTGCAGACTCTTGTTCTTTCTCTGTCTCTGCCTGTGCCAACCTTGCCACAAGTTTTGCTGCTTCATCGCTTATCTCTTCGAAGAACTCAATGGATTGTTTGCGTGTCTCACTTTTCTCTTTAGTAGGTGTTGATGAATGAGATGACTGACCACTTTTGCCTCGGATTGGCAATCTGGACTGGAAGCTTTTAGATTTCGCTGACTCAGCGCTCTTTTTGGCAGATGGCCTGGTAGACTCCCCCTCACAGAAGCTCTTGGCTTTGAAAGATGTCTTGGTTTTGACATCCACAGAGGGACCTGCGTCTGTCTCAGACTTTCTCCTTGTATCCTTTTTTACAGGGACCTTAAGCTTTTTGTCTTGGGTAGATTCAGTATTTTTGACAGTAGAATCAGGCTTGGGAGTGCTAGCCTTAATGGGAATTCTAGATTTAGATTCAGAGGTGAAGGAGGCCTCTTTTTTAAGAGTGGTTGAAGAGGGGGTTGCATGAGATGGAGAGGGAATTGCTGATTTACTGCGACTTTGAGAAGCAGACTTAGCTTGCGTTTTAACTGGAGTCTTTTTAACATTACTGGACTCGTTTTGTTTGGACTTGCCTGTTGGTTTGGGTGCTTCTATTACTGACTGTGGTTCCTCTGGTGAAGAATCGGAGGACTCTTGGCCCTGCTCAGAGTAAACTGATCTAGTGACGGTAGTTTCTGCTGTCTGTACATTTGTTATCATTTGGTCAGGGGTACTTGTGTCTAAATCTAAGCTTTCATTTTTTTCTGTTTTAGTCTCTAGACCTTCAGGGGATGTCTGATCCTTCTTTGTAGATTTTCCTGAAGCTGAAATGCCCATTTTAGGGATTTTAGATTTGGAGGCATCAGATTTAGAGGCTGACTGATCACCTTCAGGTGGAGACTGAAGCTGAGAACCAGTTGTTTCTTTTGATTTCTCAGTCTCCTCGGTCTTAACTTCTAGTGTTAGATTGAGACCAACTTCAGGTTCTGCTGCTGACCTAACGCCTTCTTGCCTGGCTTCTTCTAAGAGAGGCTCCTCTAGAGGCTGTTCACCTATCTGGAAAAAGGCAAAGCCACCCCCCTCTTCCTCATAGCTCCTCTTAGTCATGTCAATAGCACCACTTCGTGTCATCTCAAAGAGCTTCCCTTCTTGGAATAGAAAAGGGTTGGGCTCACTGGTAGGAGTGCTCTCTTCTGTTGGGGTTCTACCAGGTGTTGTGTCTGGAGTTGCTTGCACAGACTGACGGTCTACCACTAGATTAAGTATCTTCTGTTCTTCCTCTTTCACACGAGCTGCAAAAGCGGCATCATCCTCTCGCATGGCAGACCATGAGTCAGTGTCTACCCTAGCAGTGACACCTTTTGACTCCGTTCTGGGAGGTTCCAGTGCTTCATCATCCTCCTCTGTGTCATCATAGATACAGACCTCCGGTTTAAACATTTCCTTTGTTTGACCAGTGACAACAGTTGCACTGAGTCCAGCCTCTGATGCTCCTGTATGTACCTTTTGGTCTCCTTTCACTTCATCTGTTACATTGCTACCTTGTTTTAGCTTTCCAGTCTGTAGATTGGTAACACCTAACTCTTGACCATCCTCATCATCTCCTTCGCTTTCTCTCGATTTCCGTAAGCTCGCCTCCTTTTGCTCATCAGTCCTGTTTGCAGAGTTTGATGTTACAGCAGCCTTGTTGGTAGTACTGTCTTTATCAGATTTTACAGATGACAGGACTCCTTGTTCCTGTGCAGTTTCCAGTTTGGATTTTGAATGATGCTGGTCTGAGACAGAATGAGGTCCCTCTGAAGTGACACTGGCTGTTGTTGTTGTTGTTGTTGTGTTCTTGACCTCTTTGCTGTGGGATCCATCATGCAAACCTGCTGAAAAAGGAGAGGGAGGTTGTACTTTAATATGGGGATCAACAAAAAGAGCTAACTTTGAATCTTCAGCGGGTCTATTGAGCCCACATTCACTTTGCAAAAGCTTCTCACTTGCGAGCTCTAATGTTTCATAGCTGTCATCCCCTATTTTGGCATCTGCTGATGGAAACAAATCTTTTCTAGAGTTCTTTTTGCTCCTGGCATCTTGTTCCATTTCATCAAATGTTTTTATTTTGGCTGCCATCTTAAACATCTCCTCCTCTGGAGTGATTTTTCTCTGAGCTTCATAGCTTTCTGATGGATCCTCTTCATCTGGGTCTTCAGGGATGACAGCCGGTTTGGATGGAACAGAGAGGAATGTATGGTCAGGGGGTTTGGGGTTTACCTCATAACTTACCTCTTCAGAACTAGGAGTATCAGGGGAAAGGGGACTCTTACCGGAACTTGTCATCTGAGATGTCTGCTCACAACTGTCATCATCAGCACTAGCCTCATGGTCTCGTAGCAGCCTACCACGCAAAGCATCTTGGGGGAATTCTGTAGCTTTGGAGGGCTCTGGATGGCTAGAGAATTTACTAGGTGGATCTAGAGCTGATGGGAAGGATGGGTGGCTTTTTTGCTCTACAGGGCTGCTCTCTAAGGAGTCATGAGGGGGTGACTCCTTGGTTGGGCTAGGTTCAATAGAATCTGGGGACTTATGGGAGGAGTTTTCTTCCATGAGAGGACTACCCTCTAGAGAGTCTCTGTGGCTTATTGTCAAAGAGTCATCAGCTAATGGACTGAGAGCATCTGAGTCTTGTTTTAAATGCAGCTCTAAGCTTTCGTGACACTGAGGAGAGGATCTATAACCTGGAGAACCAACTAAAGACAATTCTAGCTGACGATCAGGGCTCTCGTCATCGCTAAGAAAAGTTTCAACAGTCTCTGAAATTCTCTTTGTAAGCTTTTGGGGTTTAGATGGCTTAGATTCACTCCTCCTAACAGATATGGACTCACTTGTAGTGTGGTCGTCTGCAGCCTTGCTGGAAGAGACAGGGAGGGTCAATTCTGTAGACAGTTGGTCACCAGTGGTCCCTAAACCAGAGTCTCCAAACTTGTCTGTGTCTTTACTTTCCTCTTTGACTGCTGTGGCAGTTGCTGCTGAAGTTGTAGAGGTCTGCTGTCCCGTTTTGGGAGAAAGACACATACTTTCTGGGCTTGTACCTGGAGTGGCTAGACCCTCATGTTTGTAACTGTCCTCAGAGCTCATATGAGGGGTCCCATCTCCAGAACTTGCACTTAGTGAGTCTGCCACACCCTCATGTTTTAAGCTGTCAGAGCTATCATCAAGACCACCATTTCCAAAGTCTACAGTTTCAGTTAGCTCTGAATGGGCGGCAGCAACTGACTTGGTTTCTTTCTCTCTGTCTTGCTGAGTGGTCTCTTTCTTGCGAGGTTTGGAATCCAAAGATACTTCTCGTTCTTGAGAGACATGTGAAGTTTTTGCTTTGGTCATGGATTTTGACTGGATGGTTTCTGATTTTGTAGTTTTCTCTGATCTTGTCGTTGTGGATGTTTTTAGCTCAAATAGCCCAGACTTTCTCTTCGAGGGGTCCTGCCCCGTTTGGAATGCTTGCATCAACTCCTTAACTGACATGGTCTCTTCAAGTTTTTCAGATTCAGCTTTGGGGGATTTAGGGGGGCCCTGTTTCGATTTAGGGCTTTCTTTGGCTTTTGGAGAGGACTTGCTCACAGGCAATTGTGAAGGCTTGCTTCCAGTAACCTTTTTGCTCTTTTGCTCTGCCTCTACTTTCTGCTGTAAGGCTTTGACTTTGTCCTTTATTGACCCAATGGGAGTTTCTTCAACCACTGGGGATACAGGTGACGCTGGGGAAGGGGCTTTAGGCACACTTAAAAGAGATCCTGTGTCTGTTGATTCCTCTGCTTGCCCCTGGTCTTTCCCCTTCCTTCTGACTGGCTTTTTAACATCGGCAGAAGCTGTTTTGTCATGTGCTTTGGTTGGAGTGGTTGGTTTTGCACTTTTGCGTAGTACAACATCAGTGAATCTTTCTTGGACCGCTGGCTCTTTTTTAGCTTTAATTTTGGAGCTTACTGGTGCATCCAGAAGGTATTCTTTAAGGTCGCCACTGTCCTTTATGGCTTTCGGTCTGGGTGCCCCCCTGTTAGTTCTACTTTCACGTAAGACAGGCTCTTGAATTTCTAAGGCAGCCATCTTTTTGGCTTCCTCTATCTCACTGTCGGAGAGGAGAACCCACTCCTCAGCCATTCTAGCTGCTTTTGCTACCTCCTCTGCTGCCTCACCCTCATATGTTCCACTCCTCAGTATTTCACTGACTTTCTCTAGGTCCTCTTTGACTTTCTCTAAGTCCTTCTCCATTATTTCTAATGGTTCTCCAGAAACATCCTCAGCCCCTTTCTCTATACCACAGCCTCCTAAGGAAGGGGATTTCTCTGTGGAGTCTGCAGTCAAGATGGCAGTCATTTTGATCAAATCTTGTTTCATCTCCGACACGTCGGATAGGAGGTCTGGTTCTCGGATCAGCTCTGATTTCAGGACTGATGTCTCCGTCTCTTCATCTTCCATATGGAAGAAGAACAAGTAAGGAGTAAAGAAAATCAAAAATTCAAATGAAAGGAGACAGACATTGGAGAATGTGGTCAGGATAAGATTGGAACACACTTCAGGGATCATAGGACAACAAATTCACAATGGGTTCTACATCAGGGTATCAGAGGAATTGGCTTATACTTTCATGTCTCTGGGGAACTGTGATAAAGCAAAGGCAAAATATTACCAATGGGAAATGATATGAGCAGGAAATAACTTGCTTATACACTCAGCGCACCCACACTCACAAGACAAAACTATAGAACAAAACTAAAATATGTTTGGAACGTAACTATACCAACTATGAGTAATATCAGATTACCAAGAAACCAACAAGTACAATGGAAAAAGGGACAACAAAAGAGACAAAGAAAAAATATAGAGACAAGACATCTCAAGATTGCTCAGATGCATGACAAATGTCAATGTGATAATAGGCGAAAATGGCTTGAAAGCAACTCAGAATACTAATTGTGTATATCAAAGAAAGCCAGTGATAACTTATACAACATATGATGTTTTGACATGCTTTTCATTCTAGACAAAGCAGATAATTTATTTTGAGAGAATCTAAGGAGGAAGGAAGATCTCTGCTAGAAACTAGAGAAAGACATCTTGCAGGGAGGGACAATATTTTAATTCCCTTTGCTCTCCATTCAGCCTCATGCTAAATATTTGAAATATAACAAATGAAAACTGAAATAACAAAAAACTGTGCACAATACCATAAGTGGATGGTGTTGTGAGGGAACATTCCAAAATAAGCACACCAACAAAAAAAGAAATTAACTCTCATTAACAAGACATACAATCATTCGGACAAACAAGAACACACGTACACATTTATGTAAGGCAAGTTATTTCCATGCAAAGCATAGGGAAGTGTAGATGGAAAGGTTCTGGAGAAGAGTGAGTGGAGTGAGTGGAAAGTTCTGATTAAATCCACAATTAGAGGAGAAGAGCTGCTCATGATCATGAGCTGCTTGTTAAAATGTCTTCATTCAGTAATGTGGTGAGTTCTTGGTCCATGTATACAACTACTGCCATGATAATCAATATCAGCATCATCAATATGAATTATATATTAATATACATAATACCCATAATAAATTTCTCCTAAAAATACATACATGGAATGTATGTATAGTATGTTTCATGTATATCGTGGATTGGTTTACTATGAGGTTAATTTAAATAAAACTATTTAAATATATTGTGTTGTGTAAGTCTCATTTTGTAATTTTCACATGACTACATGAGCAAGGCAAGAGGGGTAGAAGGGGGAGGATTTAGAACGATTGCTTTACCATTACACTAGAGGACTACAGCTGGAGGAATACTAATATTCTGGCCTCTAATCTCCCGGAACTGGGTGCTTGCGCAATCACTAGCACCAAGTTTTGGAACTCCGAGCACAAGTGCACATGGGTGTGAGAAACTAAGGTTTGGAATCTGGGTGACCAGAGGTGCTAGCACAACCCTGGCACAGCATGGCACAAACTGAGTGGCTGCAGCAGGATGAACAGGAAGGCAGTATCCATAGGTGGAGTCCAGGTGTGCTTTAGTGATGACAAATTATATCACCTCCTGCCATCTTCTTGAAAAGCTGCTCTCATTCCCTGCTGCTATATGACAGCTATAGTTATATAAGTAACTGCAAGGGATTGGAACTCATACATCCCACAAGCAGTTGTGAATGACATCATTGGCAAGAGTCTCTCATTGATCTAACAAGTTCAAAGACTGCCTTAATGCCTTTAAAAGTTGTATTTTGATGTGCATTTAAATCTTTACTTTGAAAAAATATATATCAAAGTGAAAGGTGCAGACATCAAAATACGTGAAAACATTTTTGTGAAAGGTCTGATTGTGTACTAAACCACAAAAAACATTTTGCTCTTTGTTGTGATTCTTGTAGTCTGTGCAGGTAAAAATACAAGCGCTTGACTGCATAAACACAACCGGTTGCGTCCCCCTACCCATTTCAAGCGGATTTGTTTGGAGCCTCTAACTGAATAAACAGGCACTGTGTCTGTGTTTTAACGCTACTGCCAACTTTTGGCTAGCACAAAATTAGAGGCCCATGTCACATTAACATCACCACAGTATGAATGAGTTTAAATTTAATGTACGTACGTAGATGGCAGTGTGTAACTCTTTCTCCATATGTCCGATCTTAAATTGTAATGGGGAAAGAGTTCAATTGAAGACATTGTGGGAGGTGTGAAATCATAAATAAAATAATAAAATAATAAAAAGTGAAGTTAAGCCTCAGGAGCAACATAACATTGACATGGGACGGTGCAGGTAAGGCCTTTTTGTTTGTTTGACAAGACAAAAATACATGAAGCTTAAAGGGCTTTGATAAGATGTATGTATATGGTCCACAGTTAAGCTAAGGGCTAAGCTGGCAGTGTATCAGTTTGGTTATTCCCCTACACACCAACTACATTAGACTGATCACCCATACAATGTTAGTGTTTTCATCATATTAGTTATAAGCTGACATGCAGTATTATTATAGAATAGCTATTTTAGTACAAGTTATAAAGAAAATAAATAGGAAAAAAATGCTTACATTTCTCTAGCGTTCTGCTGGTCTGGAAAAAAACATGGAAAATGGATCACAGTTAGCCTTGTTTCATCGACTATATGTGCCTAATATTCCAAAAACTACCACTACCATTACAATTACTACTTCAGGAAAAGGACACAATGGATACACCACAGCAAAATGAGCTACACCACTCACAATCTAATCTACCATAAACAAAATATATCTAAAATATAACACATGACTACTTGTCCTTTATTTAGTCCTCATGACAAGACAATGAACGAGATAGGTCAGCAGAGCAAGTTAGTAGAACAGGGAGGGGGAAGCGGTGGCTGCTTTTACCTCTTCCTCTTGCTCTTGGTCTGAATCGGACTCCTTTTGGGAGCAAGAAGCAGCGAGAAGCAGAAAGATGTACAGATAAAAACAACAGCAACATTAAAGAGAGAAAAAGACAGGGGGTAATGTGTGGTTACCATAGAAACAAAGACAACCAGTCAGTGTGATTTCAGGGAAAGCGATAGTGGTCTTTAAAGCTGCATTTAGGCGAGGATTTTAGATGTTACCTCAGATTCATTTTGTTAGCCTGGACCCTACTTTGATCTGTTTTATCTCTTAGTGCTTTGGCATAAGCATCACAAACTAGCCATCACATGAATTCTGTGATTTTAAGTCCAATATATTTAACCATTGTCTGATCTGATTATAAGCCATCAGTCTTAAATGTGGTCTAGTACTGCCTTGAAGATGACTCCCTGGGTAGAAAGGCAATTTTCACAGTAGCAACTTTCACTGTAAAGCAATGTTGGCTGTTGATAGCATCACCACAGTTTCTACTTGGCATGTCAAACACTGATGTAAAATAATTACAAAATATTAAATAAGAAAACAATTGGGGTTATGTTTTGGTATAGTGCTGGTAAGTAGGATATAAGTATGTATTACAGCAGAACAGGGAAAATAGGCTCAAGATTGCAGTATGGTCCAGCTAGAGTATTTTATTGTAGTGCTTTCATGTTAAATTATAGCTGCCAACAGTCAGTTACTTACAAGAACTAAGAATATACTGTACGCAACAGAAAGCATCCTCTGTTGAGTTAACAGTATAGTGGTCTTACCTTGCAGTATGATGGAAGGGTGATGTTGAGGTTGCATATGGCATTTTGGGTGAGTGACCTGTAGTTCCTGGGTTCTTTCATAAATGACAGACGACCGCACGGCTCCTGAGTGTTGTCTCTGATCTACAACAGTCAAGCAACTCAACAAGTCAGCTCTTTATCCAGAAATATTGATGTTGTATGTGAATGAAGCAATTCAACATGACAAATTATTTTTGACTCTTGCTGCACTTGCATAACAAACTCTGTTCACGTTACTTTGTGAAATAAACTAAGAACAGTGCTCACTTTGATGAAGAGTGCTAGTCTGTTCTCCTTAAAGGCAAAGAAGCTGAACAGATGGTGCTGGCCACTTTTGGTAAGGGGAACAAGGTTTCCAAAGCAGTCTGCATAGATAGGTTTCCCTTCCAGGACCTAAGAAATATAACAGGCAGATTAGTACAATGGCTAAATAACAAATAATGACAGAAAAACACACTGTTCTGTTTAAACCCTGGTGTTTCACTTTTCAACTTTGTGCAAGAGATTTTTAATGAGGTTTCTGATTACTTCATAGCATTAAAACTGCTTAATTTTTAACTCATCAGACAATTTTGATGAAAAATTATTTTGTATTATAGACACTGCCTTATACTGGTTAAAATCACATTTAATAAACAGAACTTTTTAGTGGTGGTCTGAGATGATTGGCATTCCTGACCTGTGGTGTTCCCCAAGACTCCATTCTGGGCCCCACGAGGACAACTATCCACTAACTGACTAACACAACTAACAGTGCCATATAAATTACATAGATCTATGTGCTGGTAAAAACCAGTGAGGATGGCAGCTTGCATTACCTTATAGCCTGTTTCTCAAGTGTTTGATGTCTGAAAACTTTCTCAAGCTAAATGAAAACAAATTATATTTGGTCCTTCTTGGCTCCCTGTCTGCAAATACTAAACCTGGAGAAATGAGTTGCAGTTGAAGCAATGCAGTTCATTGATTTAAAGATTACACCAAAACACAACCTTAGGCCTTTACATGGTACAAAATGCAGCTGGTAGGCTTTTTTTGAATAAAGTATCTATCTATCTATCTATCTATCTATCTATCTATCTATCTATCTATCTATCTATCTATCTATCTATCTATCTATCTATCTATTATCACAACAATGATTTTTACATTGTTATGTATTAGGCTATTTTGCCAAGCCCCCTCCAGTGGACCTCCATCATGGCATCAGCTACGATTGGTGAAACACTCCTCTCTCATTCCTCACCTCTACATCTCGGCTGCGGGCCACCTCGGAGAAGTTCTCCTGCTGCTCCAGGGTTTTGTCGATCTTGTCATCTGTCATGCAGAAGCAGCGCAGTCTGGCCTCAATGGGATCGTGGGTCTTGGCAAAGATGACAAACTTGGCCATGTAAGGGACACAGATGATCTCTCGGTACACCTGAGTGGAGAAGTTGACAGATTCCTGGACTTGTCGACAGTCTATCAGCCAAAATCTAAAAAACAGAAGGAAGAAGTGAGATTGGGTGTTTAAGCATCAGTATCTGAGTGACTTTAAATCAGTAATATATTTAGTGGAACAATAACAGATTCTTTTTTGTGTTACCTGGCAGACACATTGGTGGTGAAGGAGACACAATCATTGATGAACGTTAACGGTGTGGTTCCTGTTATGTCCTCCCATTGAGCGGGCGTTGTTCCACCTGCACATGGACACACACACAAGATGTAATGCGAGCATGTGTCTGGTGGATCTGTTCGCAGATTTGTGTGTATTTGTGTGTGTTCTCTAACCAGTGATACTACAAAGCAGCCGTAAGGTGGGGGTGTCCCCTCCAAAGCCATTGAGGACTGGGTCGGAATTGGTCTTGGGGACGGGGATGGTCATGGTGATGGGTTTATGGAACTTCCTCCTGCGGGGTTCCAGCGTGACGATGGGACTGAAAGTAGCCTTGTTCCCCAAGATCTTCCTCACTACATCCACATTCACTGGCTGGGCCTGGCAGAGTAGACAGAGAATACAACCACCTTACTTTTCAATGTAAAAAAAAAAACCTACACATGGTTATTGAGTAAAGTCATGAAGATGGTCTCCTGAAAGAAATGTTGGCTGCACTCCAAGGCACTTACATAGCCATGTTATGGAATTTGCCAAAAGTACATTCCTTTTAGCAGGACATAGTAGGGACCATCTCCACCTTGACAAAAAATTTCCAATGGATCCAGCCCTTCATCCGCAAAATGACAACGCAGAGTTTCCACAAGAAGAATAAGCACATCAAATACGGTTGGCTGGTGTTTCTGCTGCTAAGAAACTTTGAAACCCAATGTTGGATACTTCAACTTCAACTGTAGCTGGACAATATGTTTCACAAACTATCAGCTACTAGGATAAATGGAACTACTTCTACCACTATTGGTTTATTTGACTTTTTACTCAAATAACCAATTTCTATCATCAATATTTTTAAGCCATATTAGCTACATGGCAAAAGGGATGATAATGATGGATGTGGCCAGTTGGTTGACCCACCACTTTCATATAGACTGAAATATCTCAACAACTATGGACTGACCTAAACTTTTCTACAGATATCTATTGTCGCAAGAGTATGAATCATAACCACTTTGTCGATCCACTGACTTGTCATCTAACACCTCTAGCAGGTTTTCACTTATCCACTGGAGTATCTGCAAAATGGACTGGCATATATGGATTGACAAAATTCTGCATTAATAGTTCCCAGACAGTCAATCAAATCCAACTAATTTGCTGATTTCCTGACTTTTCATCTAGTCTACTTTTTCGTTCATAGTGAAATATCTTACTACTTGATTAACTGCCATACAATTTGGTACAGACAGCCATGTTCCACAAGGTTAAACTCTAATAATGTTGAACCCTGACCTTCATCAGAGAACCGTCATCAGATCAAACTTTTGCCCTGTATTCCACATAGGAATCCTACTTAACGATGTTGGGATGATTTGATATCCAGCTTCTGAATCATGAGTATAACTAAATCCAGTAATTGTATATATCAAAGGTTGACCATAGACTATACTGATGTTTTTGTCAATTACCTGTAGTCCGACTCTGATCCTCTTGGTCAGGGCCCCCTCAGGGAAAACTGCCTGTACTTGGGGCACAACAGTGCTGCTCAGGATGCCTCCTTCAGGACCAATCAGATTACTGTCTTGCTTGATGCGCGACACAACCGCAAAGTATTGTGGGAAATCTCTAGTGATGATACGGCAGATGCGCTTCCTCTCCAGCTCCTCTGGCGTGTCCAGCTCTGGGGGAGGGGAGCAGAAAGGGTCAGGGACATTAATGTAGGAATATAGTATTACATTCAATATCTTTTAGGTATGCTTTCCTCAATTCATGGTGCAGTCCACTGGTACACCATCAGACACTGACCCTCATCCATGCCGTTGAGTATCTGGTTGAGTTCCTCTTGGGTGTGTTCACAGTGATGCTCCTTCCAGCTCTCTCCACTCTCGCTCCTCAGGATCACTAGCTCCCTCTCTTTCCCTCGCAGGGCAGCAAAGTGGGGGATCTCCACAATCACAGGACTGGAAGGATAGAGGCCAGGTAATGTAAGTTAGTAAGTACACAATGTCATGGATGATAACAGTGTGTTTATAACTGCCTCTGGACCTCTTTTTCATCTTCCGGCATTTTTGCAAGCTATGACACAGCATTACTGTAGTGCGCTTCTGCTTATGCCAGTAGCCTAATAACCAATTGGTTGGTGCTACATGTCCATCGTCCAGAGGCTGCTTAGCTGGTGTTTGTTTCTTTAGTACACCTAACACAACTAAGTTGATGGTTAAGAAATATATTTTGAATGAGTACAAACATGTAGACTGTGTATTGACTATTTTGGTCTGACATCAGCACTGCTCTGACTGCATTAGCCATACACAAGTGCACAGTCCAGTTGGACTGATTTGTGGTGTTAACCATGAAGAACTGTGTTCATTCTACTGTTTACCTGGTCAACATCAAGACAACTTTCCAGATTTCTACTGCTTGTGAGCTGCTTATCTTGGCTGCTCACCACAATGTGAAACACATTTAAACAGGTAACATTTTGGTCACATTTCAAGTGTTTCGAACATACTGAAGGACAGCAGAGAAATGAATTGGAGAAGTGTATAGTTGAAGTTCTGCTTGAAAACATCACTATTTTTAGACTATAGTAACCACTGTATCAAGATGTATCATTACCCACAGGGGATGAGTTACTATATTTAATGATAAAGTATTAAATTGTCACTTTAATACTTACCTGATGTGTATAATAACAACAAAGTAGCTACAACACATCTCTATGAGAAGCATGCCACACGTACAATCCAACATGGGACAAACACAACTGCTAAAAACATAACTGCTAATATTTTTATGTGATATTTACAGGGTTCTTTGGCCTGAAAGTTCATGATATTTGTTTTTACTATTGCTATTTTTGACATTCAAAAATACATTTTCAAATATGTTATTTCAAAGATAGCACTCGCTAGTTTTGCACATTGGTCACCCCAAGTGGTGGCAGAAAACTCAATTTCTATATTGTTTATAATGTGATTGTGTCCTTTTTTTTTATTTGGGTCAAAATGGTGAAAAAATAGCATTTTCCTGCTAGAAGCTAAAAAAGGAAAAAAACAATCAGGGCCAACCACAGAAGCACAGCATGCAGTCAAATTTCACCTGGTTCCCTGGCTACTCACAGGCCACACAACCATTTAAATTTCACACAAAAAAGAATAAAACACATTTAATCAGTAAACAGGAAGCATCAAAACATAAAAGCAGAAGTGGAAAAGGCTAAGCAGAAAAGAGGGGAGAAGAAACAGCAAGTAATGTCACAGCAATGGGATGTCTAGCAGATGTAGTGGGGTACAAAACATGAGTGCAAGCATGACAGGACAATAATGTAAAGACTAAATAACAAATGGAAGGGTTTGTAAAGGAAAACAGAGACTGGCATCCATGGATTGTTTCATATGCAAAACCATTGATTTTTTTCCACCCTACCCAAGGAATTTTGTCCCCGGCGGGCCGAGCTGGAGGATTCTGCTAACCAAACTCTCTCCCTCATTAAGAGGTGGAGGGGCACTGGGGAGGTGGAGTTTACTGTGTGATCGACCAAGCATCCATACGCAGCAGTCAGGAAGAAAGAGCACACACAATGTTTTGGTTGGGTGCAAAAGAGGAACCTTAGGGACCGACTGGAAACAGCTGAGTGAGATTATTAACACTGTGGTCATTTTTAGCTTCAGATTTATTTCATAAAAACAATTCCGATTGCAAAGTCAATCAAGACAAACAGGGCAGAGCCTGGATGTGATTGGTTGACTTAATAAGTGACAAGCCTATGTGGTTGTGAAAAAAATAAAATAAAGGACATTTTCAAATAAAAACTGCTACAGTTAAATCAAACTGACTTGCAATAAAGTCTGTTATTAACAGGATTAAATAACTTAAATGGAAAAATTTGTTGGATTATTTCAGTTATAAAGATGTAGAGTATATATATATATATATATACATATAGTATTTATCCATACAATTATTTTAATAGATATAATATATTATTAAATACATATAATATATATTATATGCTATTTCATATTTATATAAATTATAATTAAGACTGTAGTTAAATAATGTTTAACACTTTGGCCCTCTGTATATGTCTAAGTTTTTATAGGACATTTTTTCAAAAGTTTCAAATATGCTGGAGAAATGTTTCACTTTCAAACAACAAACAAAAAGTGATCATTTACAGTCATAATGGTCATCATATTAAGTTAGAGGGAGTGAGTTAAAGGCTCACACATTCCATATAAACATAATAAAAAGAACAACACATTTCAGTAGTTTTGGTCAGGAAGAACCTCCATAATGTCAGCAGTAGAGAGGTATTGATGGGAAACTTGGATTACATATATACTGGCCAACTCATTACCGTAGTATGAAAGTTTTTATACTATCCTATCTCAAACATTACTGGCAGAGGGCAGAATTTGAGGCCACATATCAAATCAATCATGGTGCAATATACTGGCAGTGGAGTTAATAAGAAAGGCTTTTCTTCATTAAGGGTTAGGGATAAGGTTAAAAAGAGTTAGACTGCAGCTGTTATGAAAGAAAACAGGGCATGCTGAAGAGCAAAGATTAACAGATCCCTGGTGCTGGGAGAAAGCAAGAGCAGATACAGAAACACTTTTAGTAAGGCAGAGGCAGAGGATAAATTAATCTGAAAGAAAATGGGCAGCAAGTTGTAAGCTTCTCATTAAAAGGGATATAAATCAGTGTTGAATGTAGAGACAGTGTACAGGTCTGACCTCTTCTCTTGACCTTCTTCCTGTTTCATTCATGATTTATCTATTCCCTACTAGAGATGCCTCTTTAACACATATTATACACTTTTTAAATTCTAATTCATAATTTACTTTCAAAGGTTACTGGTGCAGGATATCCAAACCAGCATAAACAGCATTCAGTGCAGGTACTAGCACATTAATCTTTATACTACATCTTCATGCAGCACTTTTTGCTATTTTTATTTTGCTTCCCGCTTAATCCTATACATCTACTACCTCTGAAGGCACTAATTCATTCCATCATCCATCCCAGCAGCCTTACCCGAGGAACTGTGCTCCAGACGGCCCCACCTCGATCAGCCTGCTGGCCAGGCCCTCACCCTCAACCATCGGGGGCATGGTGGCCAGACGGTGTCTCTTCACTAGCCGGCACGTCACCCGCGTGGGTGCGCTGCACTTCCTCGGGGGGATGATGATGCGCAGGCCATTGTGTCGGCAACCTCGCATAGCTCCGCCCCTGGCGTCCACCATGAAGCTGACCAGGAAGCTGAGGTGGGACAGGAGATATTTATACAAATTAAAGAGACTTATTGTTGATCCCGTTCAGTGATGAGAACATAGACACCAAAGATACCTTGGTAGGTTGTTTGCCCAGGTGCTAACACTTGCAGTGTCTCAAAAGCTATGAACTAGCAGCTTCCTTAAGTGGTTACTCATCTGAAATTATGCAAACATACTGCCAGTGTGGATGTTTTCTGATTTATATGTTTCCAACTATAAAGGACTAAAAAGCTGAGCTTGAAAGTTTTTATTTTAGAAACAGTCTTCAGTCACAGTCCATTCACTCGCTTGTCCTTTTGACCATATAACACAGTCTTCATCAGCAAAGAGCAGTTGAGTGGAGACTGTTCTGTCAGCTGCTGTTGAAGTTCAAACAGCTGGGAAACTACTGATGAAGACAAGTCGGTGGACCTTGAGTGGAGATTATTTCTGCAACTCTAAAGGACTTCTTTTTTAATTATTGGACAGCAGATGAACCTAGCAACATCCACTTTATAGAGTAAATTCATTCGTATTTGTTTCATATATATTAAAGGCAAACCTATGAAACTTTGTTAAACAGCGGCCACTGTAGCCAGTAGTGGCAATTACAGAATAACAGTGAAGGCTAACATGTAATGTTAGAGTAACGCAACTACAGACCAGTCATTAAGGCAATGCATGGCGTCTGTGGATTAAAACACAATGATTCTCAGGTGATTACACAGTAATGAAAACATAGCTTTATTTATATATGAATGGAATATTATATTCCATTTCTGACAATAGAGCCTCCTCAATGTTATATGCTGGGCCTTTAACAGAGCAAAGGTATGTTTTATTGCTAATCAATTCAACTTTTTAATTAAAAAGAAGAGGAACAAGGTGGTGTTTTCTTCTTTCAAAACTTCTATAGTTAGAAAATGTCACGTGTGCTTTCAGGCAATATTTAGTTTTTATGTAAAAACGACTGTAAATGAACAGGTTCTATAATGTTAAACAGTACTATAACTAAAAAGTCAGTATTCTTACTATCACTTATCAGATTTTATAAGAATGACTATGCAGACAGTGATCTACTGGGGCAATTTTGCTAATTTGGTGTCTATTTTCTCAACACTGAATGGTCAGAATGATCAATGGCTCCATCCCCATGAATCTTAAACTTGCAATAAATGTTTTACTTCATGAACTTGAGGCTCTTTGACCCCGCTACCCATGCAAAGTGGCAAATACTGTATGCACATGGATCACACATCTCAGTGAAGGGGATTATGGCTGTGATGAGGTGACACTACAATTTGGTACCATACCCAGTTCTAATGTGATTTTGCCCTGGCTTCAGTAAAGCAAACACACAGTTTTTAGAACACACAGAAACATAAAAACACTTGTTATTGAATTCAGCAACACGACCAGTAAACTGTTAGAAGACAAAGACTGCTGTCCTCCATTGCTGAAACCTACCTCAGTGGTTTACTTCAATATAGCAAGAAAATAAAAACATATCAGTCATTTTTCCTACTTTAGGAGATCCAAGGTAGTTTTCCTGTATATGGTATACAATAATACTTATTTTATTCCAAAGTATTCCTCAGGCTAACATTGTTGGCGGGTATGTTAGTGGAAATGCACAATTCACAAGACACTGTATGAAATCAACAAACATGTCCTCAACTTTCACCGCCTCTTTCGGCCCAGATATCCACAATCCTTCACTTGCCGTATCACATGATCTTTCCATGTGGAGACTCTGGGACACGGAATGTGAAACTATGGGCGTAATATTTACATAATTTAAGTCAGATTCAAATGTTCTGACACATTGTTAACCCAAAGATAAACATATATGAGGCGATGTCTGTTGAGGACAGTGACACATACACCTCTCCACCAGGAGAGCACACTGTGAGGGGGAGGAAGAGAATGATGACGATGAGGAGGAAAACAATTTAACCAAGGTGCAGAAGGTCACCTGCTGTGGTCTCCATGATCATGGCACGGAGAGGAATGGCTAAAAACAACAACCAAATCAGACAGAAAGGAATCAAAAGTCAAGCAGAAACAATTCAGAAAAAATAGGAACCCAGAGAGGAAAAACAGGGCAGACATGAGAGCGTCAGAATAAAGAAAATAAGGCAACTTGTTGTGGAAGACACAGCGCAGCTACATAGATTGTTTTAACCATGGTCGAACACATTCAACAAGCGCTGACATAATAACATTAACATAAATACCATCTACATGCTGTGGTGGTAATTTAAATCAGTATTTATAGCATGGAGCTGGAGTAAAGACATAGTTAGCCTAGCTTAGCATAAAGACTGGAAGCAGGTGGAAATAGCTAGCCTGGCTCTGTTTCTTAAATACCTATCAACGCCTCCAAAGCTCACTAATTAACACAATTTCTTATTATTAATCTGCTCACACACAAATATGTTTAAATTAATCATTTGTTGCCACCTATTTCTAGTCTTAATGCTAAGCTAGGCTAACCACATCCTGATGTCTGCTCCCTACTAAACACACACTCACTCTCACAAATAAGTGTATTCCTGAATATATTTCTTCAACCCCTGACTGATGCTCCAAGAGGAATCACCAAGCAGCCTCTGGTCTGGGAAGAACTTCTAAATTGACCCAAGTGTGAAGACCCAGTAGGATTTGTTACTAAACTTATACTTTTGGGGTAATGGAAATTAAATGGAAATTAGCACATATACTGTATGAGAATTATGAAGCTAATTACTTCATTGCTTTGCTGCTTTAAGCTGCTTAAAAGACAACTAGAGGATCTGGGGAGGATTAGAGACAAACTACAACAGGTCAGGACTTTCTTTCATTTTCTACTTCTCTCTACAAAATAACAATATGTTACACTTCTTCATGTGCTGTACTGTAGAGGTAAAATCTATTCCCAGTAACAGCTGCCATGTAAGACAAAGCACTCCACCACCACACCCTGAGCACTACACAACAGATAATTGAAACACTGATTTTAAATGAAAGTTAATTAATACTCATTAAGAAACGCTATAATTTAACATAATTAAGTACTTGAAACATAATAGCAGCTCAGCTATCAGGACCTTAATAAGACTGGGTTAATTGTTCATGAATATTCATGAATTTACAAGAATATGCATGTATGTATATTCAGACTGTGTCTACATTTCATCCTGTGTTCAGTGTATGAGTTTAACATTTTTTATTGTTTAGTTTCTTGTCCTTGTGAAAACTTATTTGCTTCAGTCTGACAGTACCTACCCAGAGTGAATGGGGCTGGAGGATAAAGCCACATTGTCAAGATTCTCTGTGCCCCAACTCAGGCGGTAAGAATCATTCTCCCTGGCCAGTGTAGAAATCTGGAATCAAACAATGAACCTCTTATTAGACATATATTCAATTCAATTCAATTCAATTTTATTTGTATGGAGCCAATTCATAACAGAAGTTATCTCAGGACACTTTTCAAATAGAGCAGGTCTAGACCCAACTCTTTAAAACATTATTTACAGAGACCCAACAGTACCACCATATACCGGGTGGTATGACCAAAAATTATTAATATTAATTATGATACAATATGTGAAGGAATCAGAATGCATGACACAGTTTTTATTGTGCAGAACTGCATGGTTAAAAACAGAAATCCAAACTAATAAAGATATAGGACCAGTTTCGGCAATGCCAGTGGTTGTTGAACTGGTATACCGATTCATCTGGTATACTGCCCAGAACTACCTGTAATTACTGAATGGAACAATACTAACTGAATATAATGACTTTAGGATTTCTTTGCCAAAAGAATGAAGATTCTCAGTCATTCAGGTGATGCTAAAGCTATAACTAAAGGTCTTAGCCAACCGGACTATGTTGACCATGAAGTGTACCTGGTGACAGTTGAGCATCTCATCCATCATGCCCTCATGTTTAGGGGAGTAGTAGCTGTGGTGGGTGGGTGTGAAAGACCTGTCGGAACTGGAGCAGAGAAGGAGAAAGTTGTTCTTAACACAAACCACCTCACAGGAAGAAAATATAGGCTAGCACGGGGTCATCCCTCTGTTCCCCGGGTCCTATGTTCCCTGCTAAGGTTAGGGTTAGGGTTAGGGTTAGGGTTCCCCGGTCCCATACAAAGCGGGGAACATAGGACCCGGGGAACATAGGTACGCTCCCGCTTGCGCTGTCTCACACACATCGTACATTTTACTAGTTTAGCAGGCAAATATAACATACAGCTAACTAACCATGCTACACTCAGTTGCACTAGCAGGTATAGTAAGACTGTAACTTTACCAAACATGAGCATGCTAACATACTCACACTGATGTTAAGTAATGTGTAATATGGTCACCATCTTGGTGGATTATGTTAGCATGCTAACATTTGCCAATTAACACGAAGTGAAGCTGAGGTTGATGGGAATGTCATTAGAGATTCAGGTATTTGGACATTAACTTAAGTATTTTGACAAATTGAAGTTTTGACCTGATGACAATGAATTTCTGTACAAAATGTCACATCTGGGCCAGAGTGGTGGATTGTAGCAACCAACACTGCCTTCCTAGAGCAGATATCTAGTAAGGCTAAATCAGGAGATATCTAACTGAAAGAAATCAGTCCTCATCAGAGCCAGACTGTCACACTGGTTATTTCAGCAGTGCTGAAGATTTAAAAGGCCACATATTTGGCCAGCGTCAGCACATACCTTTGCATTCGACTATGGAGGCATGACAAAGGAGACCAACGATGAAGTATGAGCAGGAAAGGTCGCAAAACATACACACAAATACACATATACAAATACAGGCGGTTAGTTGTTGAGTTTACTGTCCTCAACAGGAGACCATTCATAGATACACACAGATTCATGATGAAGTCTGATTCAACCATCAACATATAAAAGATGGATGACATGACAGCTTTCTAAAAGTGAAGCCAAAACATCTTTATCGCCCTCTAGTGGCTGACTGAAGTATAAGTCATAAAGCATGCTGCCCCATATTAACAGATGGGACAAACTCAAAAAACATGTCAAAGATGTTTTCCCCAAAGATGGTTTCTGTCTGTTTAACTATTTGATTATTAGAAGCAATAAAAAAGGTGTTTCACATCCTCTGAGCCCTGCTCGTGATTGAGTCGGCCTGGCGTATGAACATGACTTCAATAGTGCGGCACCAATCCCAGAGCACTACTGCGCAGACTCTGACTCTGAATGGCAAAAAATAGCAGCGGCCGTATCTGACATATTTTAATATATTTGTACAATGGAAGAAAGTGGAGATGCAATGTCCATCTTTTATATATCGATGGATTCAACCAGTAACATCAGTCATTAGACAGGAACAGGGGCAAAAAGGAACCATTTCAACACTGAAACATAACCGGGTGTTAGATTTTATAATTATATATGTTATATGTTTAATAGGAACAACAACAGCTGATTGCACTCCATGCTTTAAAAGTGTGTAAATGGAGAACAAGGAACGAAGTTTTCACTTCCAGAGAGTTTTAGTTAGTTACTTGAACCGTAATCAAATCATTCCAGTTTCTTGTTAGCTACCAGAAGTTAAAGATGTGACAGAGTGAGCCGTACCTGTCGGTGCGTCCCCCCTCCAGGCTGAAGCGGAGGTAGTTCATTCCATCCAGATACTGTCCTGGCAGGGAGTCGTCTCCCAGCTCCCTGAGGTCCTCAGCCCTCAGATATTCCCCTCCATCACCCGTCATCGTGTCATCGCCTTGGTAGAGCAGACAGAAGGTGAACTGATTAAAGGAACATTCCAAGTTTTGGCGGCTATTAACTTACTATTGATTAATATGAACCTAGGCATCAAGTTATCCAAATGTAGCTCCAATGCTAACATGTTAGTATACAATAATACTTGCGATACTAGGCAATTATTATTAATGAAACTAGAGTAAGAGGAAATATATGTTTTATCTTTGGCCTGTAGATTTTAAAATAAAAACATCATTTATTCAACACATAAAATCAGGTCATCTTCTGTAGAACGCTTTCTATAGAAACTAGCTCGGAACAGAGATCTTTCTTATCCCTGGAAAAAGAAGTTGTCACAACAATCTCACCACAAGGACCATTTAGCAGTAGCATAACATTCTTAAAAGTGCTTTTAATCTACAATTCCTTCCTCCCTCTGTCGTCTCACACCAGACAGATGCATGTTATGGCAGTATTCTCTATTGTCATGCGTTATCTGCACCACAGTGACAAAGCTCTACTGCTGTTCCACTACTGTACAGCAGGGGGTAGCGTCACTACCGGAGCAGGTTAACCTGGGCCAAAATGTTCTGTTACAGTATATTCAGAGGACTGCTGGAGCTTGTGTGGCACATCAACACCTCCACTCTCAGGCCTATGTGTGTTAAAAGAAGAGAAATTCAAACTGAAATGAAGTCTTGTAACGGACATTTAGATGTTACCGTAAGAATTTGATGATAAAAAAGATGATTAGAGTTTTAGATTAGATTAGATTAGATTAGATTCAACTTTATTGTCATTGCACAAAGTACTAAGACAACAAAATGCAGTTAAGCATCTAACCAGAAGTGCTAAAAGCAGTAAAGTGCACAGTAATGTGCATATGTACAGGGATATAAAAAATAACATTATATATATATATATATGAATATGCTAGCAGAATATATACAGTATAAAGTTAACTGTTAAATGAATTATAAAAAATAAATGAATCTTGAGTTTTTTTATTTAGTATGAACCTTTTGGTCTTTTTAGGATACTAATTGTGTTTGTGACTCTGTGTCTCCTCTCTAACACAAATTAAATTAATAATGATGATGTTCTTAACACTGGAGGAGTTGGACATGGAATTTTAATTTTCAATTTCATTTTATCGTGCTCATCAGGGTTAGGGTGCGTATATTAATTTAATGTATTCCATTTAGTTTCAGGGTCGTGTTATTGTGCATGCTGGGTCACTGTCACACTGTCATAGTTTGCTGGGACACTTCAATAGAACACAGCCATTATTAATGTTATTAATAACAACTGTGCTTTTTCTACTGTAAAAAGTCAAGATGTCTGCTGTCAAAATCAAGATGTCAAGATTTGGTTTGTACATTAAAGCTGCAGTAGATAACTTTTTGTCATTTTCACAGAAACCTTCACTATATCCGGACAGAAGTACACAAAATCTGGTTCCTCTGTTTTCTCCTAGTGCCCCTTATGGCATTTCCAAGAATCCACCATGTCTCAATATAAAACAAGCTTTAACCCCCAGGGCAGCAGGGTATACAGGCCTGAGAGTGCAGTGTGCCAGGCTGCAGACTTGTGGTATTGTGGTAAATGCAGGAGCAGTAGCTGTACTTTGGCCCAGGTCTGGCTGAAAGCATTATGCTACACCAGCATAATAATGGAAAACACATACTGTAGTTAGACAGAGATGCTCTGGTGCAATTAGTATACTGGCTACCTGGAGAAGGAGAATGTAAGGAGATAAAAAAACATTTTCATTGATAGAGTTTCCTTACTCCTTCTCTTTCTCTCTTTAATGTAGGTCACTGTTGTATTTGAAATTAGAAAAAAAAAAACACAAATAATACCTTTAAAATAATCACTCTGATTCCAAAGTGGCCCTCAACTACACAAAAAACATCTCTGGGCTATCAAACCTAAGCTTTCAAGTGACAACACTGTGGGCAAAAAAAATTAAATTGGGTTCATTTTACTGTTTGTGTCTTAAATGTGAATTTCTCCGACTTCTCTGGAGAATAAACATTCTCAGAAAATATCCACTAGCCAAACAACATTCAGTCAAGCTAAAACAGCCTAGCCTGGCCCTCTTTACATAACTCCCCTTAAAACCACACATTCTTTTTTGTTAATGTTTTACATTTCTGTTTAAAGTACAACAAGATACAACATGTTAATTAGTTAGCTTTATATGTTTTAGTAGGTGGACTTTTTCATTTTGGAGTCAGGCTAACTGTTTCCCCTTGCGTTATGCTAGCTAGCTTAAATGTCCAGCTCCCAATTCAACGCGCTGACATGAGACTGTCATTTCAGCTTAAATCCAAAAAAGAAAGCAAATAAGTCAATTTCTCAAAACTATTTCTTTGAATACACTTTAGGACATTATGTGTATTGATGCTTTGAGCCAAACTAAATGGTCTATTTTATGAGGGAAATATTTTTTGCTCAATTCAACCTCACTTTCTCTGCGTCACTGATATCCAAATGTAATATTACAGTTAGTTCTGTAGCATCTGCTACAGGCTCATTCACCATGCATAGCACAATACTCCACTCCTGGTACAATCAGTACAGCAAGTCCTCACACAAAGCACCGTGCTGAATACCTTCATCCATGGGGTCGTCCGACATATCATCATCATCATCATCATCATCATCATCATCATCATCAATGCTTCTCAGTGCTGTGGGTTGACAGCACAATCACTCACTACCTTCTAAAATCTACTGATGGCAGAAAAGACCTCTGAACTCTCCAAAGTGAGACAGAAACACACTTTGGGCTTAAAATAGAACAGGGATGAAACTGATGGGGGTTTTTGATATTCACACAGTGAAAATGTTCCTGCTACAAATATGACATGCAATTAAAGGTTTCAGGGTGGAAAGTAATCTAAAAAAATACTAGTGAAAGTTATAGTACCATTTTTTAATCATTATATATGATAAAATGGTCTTAAAATGACAATATTATCGCAGTTATCCCTGGGAGAATATATCATCCAACAAAAGTAGTTATCGTGAAAGGCCTACACAGTCACTGTTAATATAAAATGATTGATTAGTGCTGCTTTAAGGCAGAGTGAGGCATTGGTGATTTTACAGACGTGTAAAAGTTCCCTCCTATCAGTGATGGAAACAAACTGACGAGCTGTTGTAAGGAGGGAACCTGTCTTGTTGGATGACATACACAAACCAGTAAGCTAAACTGGGCTCAACTGCAAAGTCAATAGAGGACTTTATTGTGGGACAGTTGATCTATTTAATCTCCTCAGTGTTGTTGGACACATGTTTTGGATACCACTGAGAGATCTGTTCCCATTTCCGAGCCACATTGCCACAATGTTAACTCACCCTCTTCATCCGACACATCCAGCACCTCCGTCATGGTCTCTGGCACGTTCAGCTTGTGTTTCTCTGTCACCGTCTGCCAGCATGGGACGAAACAGATCTCATTAAACTTAAGTTCACACCATACACTCAGCTGAAACCAGTGTAGTCTAATCCAACAGTCCTGCAATTCGTGCTACATCTTGAAGGTTAGGAGGAGGCTGTATTTTGTACTGGTGGTGAATTATATTGCAGTTTACAGAAAGGTGTTTCTAATATTTACCCCAAGGAAAAAGGTAATATCAGAAAGAGCAAGTCAGGAATAGGGGAAGAGATTTTAAGCTCTTGCACAAGGTGTTGTGAGGCACTGTGAAGTCATTGTAAATGAAGTAACTCAAAATATGAGTTGCTAGTTTGTTCTGTGGAAATCAATAATGAATCCAAGTGTTTGGCCGACACATCTGATCCAGGATGCTTACAGTTGCTTCCATTCACGCACTGATATATAACACCTACATTTCTTTCAAAATTCATTACTTCAAAATGTTTTATGTTTTTGCCACCTACTGTATATTACGTATGACCACTGCTTAAACTGTATATTTCAGTGTGTAGTTTGGACCTGCTTCACATTAAATACATTTGAAACAATGATTCTAGAAAACTTAATATTAATTATTTAAAAAAAAACATTTTTTTCCCTTTTTAACTAAAGTTAGCCTGGTTTTCTGATTGTTAACAGGATGATAGCACATGGAATTTTGCTTATTTCCCAACCCTTGTGTCAGTTTCTTTAAAGACATCATGATAAGATAACCTGACAAAGAGTGAAATTGTTTTCTAACATTAGCCACCATAAACTACTGGTCATACAAGACTAAGTAAGGCTATAGCAGCAACATTTCTGAGTGCATTTAATTGAGCCAGAGTGCATTTTACTGTTTATGAATTGCACTTTGTATTTGCAAGCAGAAGAATGTGTTATTTCACCTTTCACTTAAACAGTGTTTAGATATTTGTACGTCTTTTATTCTGCAACAGTGATCCTAAGTGAATGGTTTTGACTGTTTTGTAACCTAAGTGCAATAAATGATCAGATAATGTCTTGTCATTTAATGGTTAATGATATTATTATTTATCTGTTTTCCACGTGAACACATTTATATTCCAGCACAGATTCTTGCTGTCTATCACATAACCTTAAAATTTGAAGGAATTGAATTTGCTGTTGCTTTAACGATGTAGGTGTGGTACATACCGTTGTGGTAGTGATGATCTCCTCAGTGACAACCCTCAGTGTGTCCACCACAGAGATGTAGCCCAGCCTCCGGGCAATACCTAGAGCCGTGTTACCGTTCTGGACGAGAAAGCACAGTGAATGAGATGTGTGTCGGTCTTTGTATAGTGTGTGTGTGTGTATGTGTGTGTGTACGTACCACAGTGATAGCGTTGGGCTTGGCACCGTTTTGCAGCAGTAGGTTAATGATGTGTGTGTTTCCTTGCTGGGCTGCCTGGTGTAGGGGAGTGTATCCATTCTGGGAAGGAAAGAGTCCAGTAGATTAAAGTGAGAAAGTCAAAATCGATCATTTAATAAATTAATTATTCAAAGTTTGGTTTGATTCTAACAGTTTCTTAACATTCAGGCAGCTGATATAAAATGGGTCATGTATAAAATACAATGAATCTGGCTGAATACAATATTAATAAGTATTGTTATAATTAGAAAGCTATAATTAGAGATGTTTCCCATTTTGACGAGATACATTGACACGTAGAGTAATAAAGAGACAGTTGATATAACGAGATACAATATGTTGTTAGAATAAGAAAAGCTTCTTATCAAAACAGAAATATTTGGTGTAAAAAATAAATCATTATAACATGAAAATATCTTGTTAGAATGTTATAAAAATCTCTTGTTTAAATGCGAGAACTCTCGTTATAATGAGAAACTGAACAGAATATTTGTTTTTTGTCTTGATCTGCAATACAGTGATGTACAGATATATCTAACATTAGAAATAATAATAGTGGAATACACTAACAGCATAAATATTAAATAATGAATGTTAAAAATTGTACACTTATAGCACTCATATAATATATATTAATTATATATAATATAATAATGCAGTGCAAACATTTACTTTGGTTTCAGTACCTTGGTTTTGGCATTGACACTGGCTCCATTCTGAAGCAGGTAGCTGACCATCTTGGCGTTACCATAGTGACATGCTACAATTAGCGGGGTGTAGCCCAACTGCAAAACAAAAGCAAATCTGTTAGAATCATGAATAACACAAAAAATACAGCACTTGCATTGAAAAAACATTGTAAAATGTTGTGATAATGTAATAAATTCAACAGAATGAATACAATTATCTTACAACCAGAAAAGCTAAATGCAGAAAAGGAAATAAATACGATGGATCATACTTTGGTCTGCTGGTCGAGGTTGGCTCCGTTTTTGGCTAGAATCTCAGCAACGGCCACTTTATCCTCCTGGGCTGCCAGATGGAGGGCAGTCAGGCCACTCTGCATGAGGAACACACAGAACAGTTACTATATTCACACATAGCAGCCACATTCAGACCACATTCTGTCCATTCTTGCTTGTCAAATAAGATAATGTAACTAATTTAACATTGTAAAGAAGATAGATTTTGCCCCAAAAACAGCAGGTTTGGTTAAGATTTCATCACTGGTTGGATTCTGTCATTAAAGATATTTGGACTGATGGTAGCCAGGATGTCATTGTTCTATCAGTTATGTAAACTTTCTGATCTTCCCCAGTTATTCTATAGTATTCACACATACTGTAGCTTTAATCAACAATCAAAAGGCACAATTGACCTTTCTTTAAGGGCCGTCCAAACCAGCATTTTATTGTTTTCTTCGTATTCATTTTTAGCCTTGCACAATGTTATTTATTATTTTGTTTTATGTGTTGTTTCAATGTGAAGCACTTTGGGCTGTGTGTTTGTATAAAAGGTGCTATATAAATAAACTTGAGCTGAGTTGAGGTGAAGAACAATTACTATAACAATAACAGCTCAATAGGAAAATGGATAGAATTATTGATGACCTGTTACTGCTGTACATTGCACAGAGAGATACAAAGAAAACCAGAAGGATAAAGGTTCAAAAATACGAGGGGAGAATAACACTGTTAAATTTTTTTATTCATACTTTGATTTTTAAAAAAAGGGGACATCATTAAGGACTACAGAGACCCCAACAGTGCTAAAGACCATTTGACAGTATGTCTTAGGTAAAATTACTTTTTTATTTGTGATCTGCAGCCGAATATTACATTACATATATATTATACATTATAAGCTTTTAACTTATATACCACAATACTGTTTATCAAAGCGATCCCAGCGATAACGTTCGCCACAGGCGTTGTCTCTGTAGTTGTGGTTTGTACTCCGCCATCCACTTGAGTTATATTATATTATATATATATAGTTATCATTCTTGGTGTGGTGGCTCTAAATCCCAGATGCTTTTAGAACCTCGGCCAACTTTCCTGTACTTAGACATGCTATGTGCGAGCTATGTTGAAAAGCAACCACATTTTGAAGATGGTTAAAAGATAAAAGCTCTGTAGCAAATAGCCAGCTAACTAGATAGCTGATGAGTGATGAACATTAGCTAGCTCAACTGTTATTGGAGCACAAAGTAAAAATGAGCGGGACTTCTATGACTGGTATAATTAATGCAGTGTTCCTCAAAATAAATGAAAACCTCAACAAAACACTTGTTCTGTATGGTTCTACTTGTGATGTTGTGTAGAGGAGTCCCAGGTTCCTACACTACCTTAGTCTGGACGTTGATCTGGGCTCCCTTGCTTATGAGCAGGGCAGCCATGTCTGCGTGGCCCTCCTGGGCGGCCAGATGGAGCGGCGTGACGCCCTGCTTGGTCAGGATGTTGGTCTCGGCTTCGTACTGCAGCAGCACCGTGGCGATTTCCATCTGGTTCTTCTTAGCCGCGATGTGGAGAGGAGTGTAGCCGTTCTGATTGACGGGGAGAGAAACTGTGTCACTGCTGAAGGTTGGCTTCAACCCTCATATACCGAAATCTTTTGGTTAAACTTTCAAGATGAGTAAAGTACACACTTCACTACGTCATTTAGACTATTATTAAAGGACAAGGCTGGCTATATTTTCACTGTCACTAAATCCCATATGCAAATCCAACAATAAATGTATCTATTAAGAAGTACTGTGTATATCAAAGCTTTACATATCTTCCTCTTCCTGCCATAGAGCTCTATTATTGTCCAAAAACTATTAAAAACAAACATCAATGAGCCACACTGTTACACTGGAGGACATGTTCCTTCATCACCATCAACACACACTGTAGTAGTATTTATACACCGTCCTGCTGCCTCAAATACTTACTAGAGCCCCAATGTGGATTAATCCGCCACTGAAAATAGTCCCTAAGAAAGGTACTATTTCCTCCTGTTTGAGTAAGTGGCCAGCTATTTCAGAAAAGTTGCAAAAAAGTTTACTCCTGAACTTGGAAATAGTAGTTTGACAAAAAGAGCTTTCAACCATATCTCTTGGTTTCCTCGCCAAATGGAATTTGCTCAGTTGTCGCCACTTGAGCTAAATGTGGAGAGGTCATGCCACAGATGACAAATCCTGCTGCCTCATTTTCTATGTTAAATTATTTTCATTGTCATATTCATAATATAGATAAAACACATAATATTTGAATCCTAAATTCATCAATTAATACAGAGGAAGTTCTGCGGGTTTGAAGCTAATTTTAGAAACCTATGAAAAATAAAAAATGAATTTCACCTTCTGGCTAAACTCCAATGAACCTTCCACTCAGCCCTCCCAGTATCTCCAGCCCAGTGTCTACAATTCTGTGGACTCTCACCTTGGCCATGGTGTGCGGGGACGCTCCTTTGTCCAATAGCAGGAGCGCCACCTTCTGGTTATCGTAATGTGCTGCGACATGGAGCGGGGTGAGGCCGTTCTGTAAGGGACGGACGGTGAGTGCACATGGGTTAAACAGCAGTTAGTGCAGCATCCAGCTTTTAACACACACACACATATAGCAAGTGTTAATGGGGTAAGACTGCAGATTAAGACGAATTAGAGTTATATTAGACAGCAAAAGCTGGAAGGATCACTGAGTGGCTCCTTATTATGACGAACATATTCAAAGAAAAATGATGTAAAAGGCTTCTGTTATCTGTTTTATATTTTCTGGAATAAATTACAGTTAATGTGATGAAAGGAATGGCTGATTTGATTCAAACTAGGCTTACCGGTGCTCTTGCAGGCAACTTAACCTCAATACAGAAACATAGCAACACAACTTTATTTATTTACATGCAGGAAAAGGGTTCAACAAAACACTTAGAGACTGGTTTCGCTTTGTGTCATATTTATACCATCATACGCATCATCTCATAGATTGTACCATAAGAACTACAAAGATACAGTTAAAAAGTTTTTTATTTTGGATGAATACCTTCCCAGCAGAATCAGGTGGAGCGTGGCGCTGCAGCAGAAGTTTGGCTACATCTAGGCTGCCGTACTTGGCGGCAACATGCAGGGGAGTAAAGCCTTTCTGTGGAGAGAAACAGGGAGAGTATGCATATTGAGAAATGTCTTTAAAGACAGTGAATACAGTCAGACCTCATCAATAATGGCCTCTGATCTCTCTCTACATAAAGATTTCTATGATTTGAGTACTGTAAGTAATCTATATCTTTTTTTCAGCCCAAACTGAGCTTTTGGCATATATTAGAAGACTAATTTATAAGATAAAAAAATTCAATAAAATGCAGTTTAATTATGTGCCCTCACAAAAACAGTTTATTGTATTAAAAGTTTTCAGACCTCAGGGAGTCAGTAAAAAGATGTTTTTTTTTTCATTTACATTCACATTTATCCATAGCTACATATTATCAATGTATACATGCTATCCTCACCACCACTTATAACATAAAACAATAATAAAACCCGCCTGCTGACGTGCTGATGCAATTCTATGTAATCTTAAACCAAAAATATTAAATTGAGCCTTTTAACTTTCACAATGCAACCAGCAGGGGGCACACTTTAACTACTCTGAAATGCAGAACTAGACTGACAGAAACCACATGACCGGTGTGTTTATGCCCTAGCCCTGCCCATGGAGGGAGCGATCCTTTGTTTGTCAAACCGTGGATTATATCTGATGTAATAGTTGATTGGACAAAAAAACAAGGAAGGAGAGGAGGAGAGGGATGGAGGAGAGGGATGGAGGAGAGGGTTTCCCTATACTGAGACAGTGTTCTAAGTAAAGGATAAGGACTGTTATGAACATGCTTATACGGATGGAGAGTGTTTCACTTGCATGACAACAACTTTCACTGATTTGGTTTCCATAGCGACAGCCACACCCTTCCTCCCCAGAGAGAGACAGAGGAGAGAGACATCATAGTGGAAGAGAGGAGAAGTACTGAACCCTGACGAATGCCTCAGAAAGCGCTTTGTCTCAGCTTTACTACAGTATGAATAAACTAAAGGACTAATGGGTCCTGGACTGGATGCGAAGTGAACACTGTGATAATAAATAATAATATAATAAATCACATGGCTGCATTCAGACTTCATGTACAATTGAGAGGGAAGCAGCAGCTTTACAGCCTCATCAATCATTCATCTAAAGTGGGTCAAACAGACAGAGACCTGCACATACAGTAACAATGTAACCTCTTTATCTGAGGCTTCCACCATGGGATGAGCACTTATAGCAGAGTTGCTCTTGTAGTCTACATCTGTATGTTTGGTACTATCTGTTCTTTAGTGGATTTGTGCATTTGCAGTATTAGTTCAACAGATTGGGTTGTTTTGTTGTAGAAATTGTTGGTTTGTAGCTCGTCACTTTCCCTACTCTTATCTGCTACAGTTTATGATTTATATCCTTTTTGTTACTGCTGTAGTAACCAGATCGTTACAAAGCAATGCTTGCCATCTCTACTTGTGGGGAATAAATTACCATACAATACACATTTTTAGCAGATGCTGACATCTGATGGCTAGCAATTACAGCAGTTTGCAACTTTGTTGTCTCAGTACGTGTCTCATCTTTCCATTAATTCCCAATTAATGCAATTCCAACACTGTTTATGGACCCCAGTATGCAGCAATATTCAAATAGACTAGGCAAGACTAACACATTTATTCCCCATGCAAAAAACGGCATGGTTTTTGCCCCAAAATGCATGATATTAAGCGGGTATGTCTGCAAAGGGGAGATTCGTTATTTAGCCCACTTCCTGACTAGCTAGTATGACATGGTACCAATGGATGCGTTATGTCATCTATGGCATGTTTCATGTTTCTTCACTAGCTTAAAAACAGAGCCTGCTACAGCCTCTGAAAGACGGAGTGGAAGGGGTGAGGATAATGGGGTGGCCCCTGTTATCAACTAAAGGCCGACTGCATTCAGGAGGGGTGCTCACACTCACGCTATTTCTTCTTCTCTTCTTAAAAATCCTCTGTTTGAGTCCAGAATTAGCTGTTGTGGTTAAACCAGTGGCTGTCAAACTGTGGGGCAGACCCAATGGGGGTGCACAGAGCAGCAGACCCAATGGGGGTGCACAGAGCAGCAGACCCAATGGGGGTGCACAGAGCAGCATTTTAAGCAATTTACATTCCTTCCAGTCTTATGCTAAGCTAGGCTAAACATGCCCTGACACCAGCTCTGTACTTAACACACAGACATACTGATACAGATTGGTATTGATTTTCTCATCATAACTGTATTTCCCACTATTCCTTAATTATATTATTATCCTCATAGACTCCACTTTATAACGGCTACCTTTGATCCTCACTGAGTGAAATAGTGAATGCTCCTAGAATGCTTGTATGAATTAGTTGGTGTGAAAGTAGTCAAAATTAAAGACAAAACATGTTTCCTCAACCCACCTTGGTGGCCAGTGAGTGTGAAGCTCCGGCCTCTAGCAGGACAGAGGCTGTCTCCACCTGCCCCTCCCTGGCGGAGATGTGGAGGGGGGTGTAGCCGTTGGTTGTGGCAGCATCTGGATGAGCCATGTGTTGCAGCAGCAGCTGCACAATCTCAGTTTTTCCCAGACGGGACGCAATGTGGAGGGGAGTCTGGTCCTCCTAAAGACGACATGAACATTTAGCTTATTCTGCATGGTGGCAGAACACTACAGTAGAAGGTGTTTACTGGGTGTGCTACTATAGAGAACAGCAGTCTCACCCGTGCCCTGGCGTCCACTATTGCTCCGTTCCTCAGCAGACATCTGACCACCTCCACCTGCCCTGCCCTGGCTGCCATGTGCAACGCTGTTTCCCCACGCTGTATGCACAACACACGGCAACATATGGCTCAGCAGAGTCAACACACACACACATATTTAACTGAAATATGCATCAGCTGACTGATCACTGTAATCTGTTCACACACTTTTGTCACTTAAAAATAACTGCCCTCTCCCTGATCGGCTTGTCACTCACAATATTGCTGACGTCGGGCGATGCTCCGTTCTGCAGCAGCAGCAGGACGATGTTCAGGTGACCCATGAAGGCTGCTACGTGGATGGGAGTCAAACCAGACTGAAGGGGAAGTAAAAACGGAAGAAATGGATCGACAGTCATGTCAAACATCAATTTCTTACTCAAGGAGAGCTCATCAAATTTATTAAAATACAATATAGAATGGATTGTCATCTGGCAATTGTTGTAACTCAAATGTCCAATTTACTAACGCCTCATAAGTCTCCCCCACCTGAACACATCAGCATGTCAACCTTAAGTTATAGTCATTAATTAAATAGTATTGTTCTGTATTAATTGAAATCCGCAACATAGTTAACCTAAACTCATTAACCTCCTGTATCCACTACTATTCTAATGCTCCTCTCTGGATGGTTGGTTACGGCAGACATGTGATAGCAGCTCAGTTATGTGACATACCTCTGTGATGGCCTGGATGGAGGCTCCATATTTGACCAGCAGCTCCATCACTTTCACTCGGTTCTTCTTACAGGCTATGTGCAGTGGAGTGAAGCCATTCTGTCGGAGAAACGTGGCACACACACACAACAATATTTAACATAAATAAATCCTCACCTTAAAGCATCTAAGACCTGTAGCTTGACCAAAGAATCCCTTTGAAAAGAGGATTGTAAAAGTCACACAATCTCTCTGCATCGTACCAGTGCCCTGGCGTTGGGGTTGGCCCTCTTGTCTAGTAGCAGCTTGGTGACTCTGTAGTGACCGCAGTGGGCTGCCACATGCAACGCTGTCAGGTAGTCCAACGTGACATCATCAACAGGAGCCTTATGCTGCAGGAGGTGTTTGACACATTCGACATGGTCGCCTTGTGCCGCCATGTGCAGAGGAGACAGCCCATTCTAAAATGTGAAAGAGAGACCATTTAGTTTGATGGAGATAAATGCTAAGGGCGATTTCTGATGAACGGCTGTGAGGCTGTGTAATGCAGAAACTACCGACTCTTAGATCATTGTTGTGGGTGTATATGAAACCAGGATTTTTAAAAGGACCTTCTGATTGAAAGAAAAATCCGTTTAAGAGTGTAAGTGGGCCTCTTTTTTCATGAAGACCTAGCTCGCAACTAGCTGGTGCAGCACTGAGCAGCTAAAGAGCCAGATGTTTTTACTCAGGAGCTGGTGGGAATGGAAGCAGAGCTAGAAGTAGAACGAGTATTAGACTTACATTCATCAGGCTGAATGTGTAAATAGGCAATGGCTTGCTAACTCGTTAGCGAGGCCACTTTATGTCAAATATGAATATGTTCATTAATCTGGTGTGGCTACACATTTTGACAAATAAAAGCAGGTCTCAATTAGAGGCCCAGTCTGCATTTTACAGCAATTCTTTGGCTGTAGAAAACCTCTTAAAGCACACTGGGCTCTGTATACCCGGCACTACACCACTGAGTTCTTGACCGTACCTTGGTCCTGGCCAGCAAGGGTGCTCCTCTCTCCAGCAGCAGCTCCACAGATGTATCATGTCCACTCCGAGCCGCACAGTGAAGGGGCGTCAGACCATCCTACAGAACCAACAACAGTGATGTCATTCAAGTACTTCTTTAACCAAGTGAGTCTGATCAGTTGAGGTCAGTGGTTTAACCTGAGTCCTGTCCTACCTACAGGCTGGATGTTGGTGTTGCCGGATTGTGGGTTAGAATACAGCTAATATCACACGAGTGTCATGCTATCTGGTACTGGCAAAATAACACCACGCAGAGGTCAGGATGACCAGTGTGATACTGAACTTAATCCACTGACCCACTGAGGCTAAACCGAAAACAACAGCTTTAAGCTCATAGTCACATCTGTCTCACTAGTGGAGATCATATTTTCATGTTTTTCATGATACTCACCCTCGTTTTAGCGTCAATCTGAGAGCCACGGTCCAGTAACAGGCCAACCATGTTAGTGTTGCCACGCTTGGACGCCACATGTAGAGGAGTAATGCCATTCTACAGGGGGGAGAAAACATTACTTTTAGTGGAAAGTATTTTGTCTTAGACACATTAAAATACTGACTAACTGAATTCACACTCTGAAAATACTGCATATTGTTGCGTATGAAGGGAGAATGTTATAGTATTTTATTGTCTGTGTACTATAGTAATGTATAGAAATCAAAAAATATGAACCATACTCACAGTAAAACAACAATTAAATGTAAAATCTCATAATCAATAAACAAACCTGTTGAAATAATATATACCATGCATGTTAAAATGTAATATACTAAGTACTATACACACTACTGCTGCTCCAACAGTAATACTAAGTATATAGAGAATTGAATTTACAGTTTGATCTTTAATTTAAAGACAAAAAATAAAATAACAGATGCCACTTACTGTATATCCAATTTATTAATTAATCAACTAACACTTTAAACATATTTCCAAATAAACTCTATATTCATTTCAATTTTGTCTGGTGCTTTTCGTTTCTATGCTCTCTTATTCATAATTTCTCCTTAAACCAGTAGGTGAGGATGGTTGGGCTCATACAGACAGAAGATGAGTCCATTCTCTCAAACATTTGAACCACACAGGATTCAAAATCTCTGCAACCTCCTTGTTAGCCACAAAAGCAATCCCATGAGGCTCAGGAGAAATACTTCATCAGTAAATACATGTACATGTAAAAGAGCAAGATGTGTGTTTTTCTTTTTCTTGTTTCTCACAGCGTGGAAGGTGAGAGAGCTATTTTTATCTATATGGCTAAAAATAAGACCTCTGAATCTGTTTTGTGGATGATTGCAGGGACAAAACACACATCTGAATGGCCAGACATGAAAGTAAACGATGTGTAGCTGAGGATTAAGAAAGACAATGCCTGGCCTTTTCAAAGCCTTGATTAAAAGACGAGGACCCGCTTGTAGAGGGCTTCCTTTGTGTGTGTGAGTTCTTGTACAGATGCAGCCGCCCAGCAGGGCTGGCTGGTCCGTGACAGGGTCCGTAGCAGATCCCTGCTGGGTCCTAGCCAGGTCTAGCTGTAATGAGATCCCCCCTCGATGTCGTAGTGAACGCAGCCCCTACTCGTAACGCCTGAACACCACGCATGGAAAGCAGTGCAATGCTTTATCGATCCCAGAATGGGAGCAGTGATTATGGAAGCTGAGACAGTCCACTGCCATCTGACTGCTGTATTTTCATATATATCAATAGCCCCAGATTTAGCAGACAGGAACAGTTTGCAGAAGTTTTTCAATTGTGTTTTTCAATGCACTGATCAGACCCAAGTAACTCCTCAGTGTGGGGTCCTACCCTTGCTGTGAAGTCGACTGCTGCCCCTCGGTTCAGCAGGAGCGTGGCCACATTGACGTTGCCATAGTGGGCAGCGATATGCAGGGGGGTGAATCCACTCTGGAAGACAGACAGGAAAGAGACAGACACACAGAGAAGAGTAGAGAGGTCAGACATTAGCTGTTACTTCATGTCCTTGACTCGTGTCTCTTGATCTTTAGTCTCCCCAGCATGCAGCATCAAGCATCACAGGTGAACAAAACTAAACTGAAAGCAAAGAAAACAGAAAAGTTACAGAGAAAAAAAAACTCAAAATGTTTTAAAATATTCAAGACAGGATGTGTAGCACCCATACACACAACCCCAAAACACACTCAGACACGTCACTTCCATGCAGTTTATCCACAGAAACAAAAGTAAAGGTTTTTCCCTCGGATTCAAAACCCAATAAGAAACGAAAAGGACAGAAACGAAAGCAGAACAGATAGATGTACAGTACACACAGATTGTCATCAAGATTGACATGAAGATGGAGAAACAATATTAGCTACCCAAACAAAACCAAATTATAGTAAAATCATAGTGTCAGATAAGGAGGAGATTTCTGATCAACACCAAAGTGCACTATGTTAACTGTACATCATAGAAGTATTAGAGTTAGCAATGAGAAGTATATGAGAAAAGTTAGAGATTGCAGAGCAGGTTGGAGTAGTTGTGAAATTCTTGCCTTACCTTGCCATTCTGTAAGTGTGGTCCGATTTAATGTGAAAAAGTTGTTTACAAAAGTGTGAAGAATACAGTGACTAACGTGATGGTTTAAAAACTTTACACAGTCAAAAGCTTAGAATGGTGCAAATTAAGGTAGCGTGGATGCAACATGCTATTCAACGCCAAGTCTTTGGCCAAGCAGGTCATATTGTTAAAGCTTTATAAGCTTCCCATGCCATTATTGATTTGCATTGTTTGTAGTAGTAAAAGAGTGAAAGTTATATACCACTAATTGGAAGATCTTCTATAGAAGAGCATGCATTTGAATTACTTGCTCAGGAAGCTGTTGAATATGGATGACCAGGGCTGCCAATATTGCAATATCATTTGGCAATTTAAATTTTCCATTTGTGTGTACATTAAATAAATTATTTGCATTTTAATTATCAGGTTAAAAAATGCATAATTACTGACAAAATTAAAATTAAAGTGAAACATTTTATTGGCAAATAATTTTCTGTTTACTTCAAAGTAAAACACTGCCATACAGATTAGGAATGAAAATGACTTTTCACTTGACTTTTCATAATGGCAGACAATGTATTGAAAGTTTTTGTTTTGGCAGTATTCATGCATTTTCCAATTTTTCATTTTAATTTCAATTTTATCATATACCATGGGCACACAGATGGAAATTTAAATTAAATTTGAGTAAACAATTTCATTTTTATTTTGGCAGCAATTGACTTCCACACATGAAGAATATTGTATGCAGTATACTATAATATTTGCAGTTATTTCACCAATACTGTTTTAAACTAGGTAGTTCATAGTGCATCTCTAGAAATCATGCAACATGACATAAACAGACAAAATTACAAGACAGACCAGTGGACAATATACATTCATAGCTGTACTTAAAATGCATCAGCACAGTATTCACCAAATCAAAACCTTGCAGGAGGAAAATGTAATCATATAAAACAAATCAATAAACCATACATCTCAATAATGATGTCGTTTATAGATATTCATAAGGGTCACATATGACAAAAACAAAAGGGGCTTTCTGAGCCGGTGAGATAATTAATATAAACTGGAAACAAAGAATGAAAATGCATACAGAAAGAATATGAATAAACTAAATTGAAAGCCAAAAAATAAAGATAAGCAGACTGTGTGCGGTGCCTGAGCGCAGGACACACGGCAGTAGCTTCGCCATTCGTGTCAGCCGTGCATGTTGACCTATTATTATACCAAACCAACAAAAACAGTGGGGAAATGAACCAAATGATTCTTTATTTACACCATGCAGTGCTGTGGAAGTGGAAAAAATAAATGGTGGAAGGAAAGAAAAGAGAAATAACCAAAGGGATGGGAGTGTATAGTGAATCTGTGGAGAATTAAAGGAGCGTGTGTATACCTCAGTAGTCCTATTGACCATCATCTGAAGCGGGAGGAATGAGGGAGGGAAAGATCAGTTCAGTTAACACATTACTGCACTGTAGCTCAGAGGCAGCTGTGCAGTCAGATACTGAGGTGGCAAGCGACGCGGCTGGTGTGGGTCACTTCCTTTAATGTGATGTCTCAATGCAGCTGATGTCCAGTTCGCACAGAGGGGATGCACAGTCTATCCAAGCCTACTGAGTTTTTCAACAGTTCAATCAGTTTTAAGCTAACTAACTAGCTAATTATTTATATTATTAATACCCATTTTTTTAAGTAGTTGGGTCACTCCAGTCTCTCCACGTACCCCCTGGGAAGAACTACTCTACGTACTCGGCACTCAAGTTGAAAGGTAATAATTTAATTGTTCACCGCATTTTTTCTTCCAGATAAGTTACCTTATGTCAAACCTGGGGGTTTGTTTACAACCTGTCTGATCACGTTTCTGCTTGTGTTTCTTACCCCGTTGGACTTTTAACAATATCACTGCACTCTGTAACAGCTACATTTTCAAATAAGAATCTTGGTTTAGTGAACAGAGATGTAAGCAGACCATTTCAGATAGCTGTCACTGGACTGCTTTCCCAAGGTATTTGATTAACTGTGTGTGTGACAGCAATATGTGTTTTATGTGTACTTGTGTTTGAGTGCGAATGTACGTGCTGCCGTTTATAGCCGTTCTCCTCTGGGCCTCTCTTATGACTCATATTGAGCTGAGCTGCATCCCAACAGCCGAATCACATATGGCTTTATACTAAATGCATGCATATACCCTGAGCTTCCGCCGCTGTGTTTTGTTACATAACAACATAATTGGTGCTTTGTTGAAAGATACTGTTGCTACTGTCGAAGCAATGTTTCACATTCAGCAAGTTTTATAAATAAAAGTGTAATAAATCATCTTCACTCCAGCCACGTCACTTAAAGCCACTATCAGAGGAAAAGTCAACTAAATACATCAAAAGGTAACTGTGAATTCCCACCAATACCAGACTGACACTTTAACCCCTCTAAAACCCTTGCAGATGGTCAAAAAGCAATCTTAAATACAACCTCCATCCCCCCATATTGGTTGCATGCAGCCTTAAATATCACCACCATACAACCTGCAGACAGTGGCACACTCCATGCAGTGGACAGTGCTACACTTAGACACCGGTGCAGCGAGGTAGGAGGGGGTGATAGGGGGAAGTAGCGTGTGAGAGGTAGCATTTAAAGAGAGAAAGGAAAAAGAGGGAGAGACCCAGTTAGTGGCAGGACCAGGAGTGACGTGGTGGGAACATAGACACTGAATGAGAGAGAAGAAGAGAGAAAAAGAAAGATGCACAGACAGATGGAAACACAAACACGCTATACACAGGTATACAGCTTCATGGGAAAAATACATCACGACAAATTAGTGGTCTGTCACGCACTATATTTTGGGAGACCCTATTTACACCTGGTGTGATAAGTATCTGGATATTTTATCTGGATAAGGAAAACTGACACCAACTGGGTGATACAATGACATCCAATCTGCCAGACCACGTCCAGAGATTAGACGATAACACAAGACTGAATTGTCCTTCCTGTGTCGATGTCATTGCCATCCAAATCATCCTGATCTGATGCACCTATCATCAGGACATCCATTTTTGCTGGTGCCTTCCAAAATGGCTACAAATGATCTTTAGAAGACAACAGTCATTGTATCAGAAGAGACTTCAGAGATACTATCCATAGTATACTGGAGCACACAGACTTTGTTTGTTGCCTCAAGTCTGTACAGAGACAATATCTCTGAGGTCTTTCCTAAACAGGCCTCATTCCTTGTGAGGACCTGATCCTTTGCCACAGACTATTTCAGGGCTTCAGCCTGGGTAGGTTTGAGTATGACTTGCAACATACTTAAAATGGCAAAAAGACAATGTTGAATAATGCTGTACTTATCTAGCTCCAACTTGTCAAAACAATGACATGGCAATGACATGATGGTGGCATATGTAATTTCCTCCGATTCCAGTCTACTTCTAAGGCTCTTCTAAGCCTATTTCTGTTCATCTTGATCCAGATCCCACACTGGGACCCAAAGGATTTCCATTGAGATGTCTATGCCAAATGGGTAAAAACATTGGAACTGAGGGCAAATGCAATATCACTGTGGGTAGAAAGACTGTCATCTATGGGGACAGAAACATCATACCACAAGTCAAAACCTTTATATTTCAGGAAAATGTGTAGAAGTATCATCATTGTGGAAAGAAAAATCTTCTCGTATGAAGATATCTAATCACTGTGGGCCAGAACAGCTTAGGAAAACCACCACCATGATTAGAATGATCATGACTATAGGTAGAACTGTTTTCCCATACATTACAGTTGTGTATAAAAATGTCAAGACCTCGGGTAGGTAGGAATTCCATCACTATGGGCTGAGAGATCATCACTGTGGGTAGAAACCTCATCACTGAGGCTACTAACGTCATCACCATAAGCAGTAATGTCATTACTACAACTACAGCCCACACATAAGAAATCCACACAATTGGACGGTAACTTCACCTTCCATGTAATTGTTTGTTGCCAGCTTTCCACCTACTCGCCTACTTTGCATAATGAGCAAGAAAAATTAGACCCTGTGATTATGAAGACAGGATGTAATGAGAACAACATGATCAGATTGTTGATTATCAGGATAACTTATCCAGATACAGATCACATTTTAATAGCTGATGTAAACAAGGTCTTCCTACCCAAAGACTCTCACAGGACCCATGGGTGAATCCCAGTGTTAGTAAGATAAGTAAGATAAAATCAATGACATATAAAAGAAAGCTAGACTGCCTTTCAATGATTTACATTCTGCATTCTGTACCTCAATTACCACTAGATCCTATTCAAGCCAAATCCACTGCAGCCTCATATAATTCATAGATTTCACAACCACAGTATGGACACATTGGCACAAACGCGTGGCATCACATTAGCTTGACTTCCACCCATGCCGACCATTCGGACTCAAACACTGCTATGGCCGTACCTTCGACTGGACGTCAGCGTTGTGGTCGTTCTGGAGGAGGAGGGCGGCCGACTTGGTGTCGTCCTTGCGGGCAGCAATGTGCAAGGCAGGCAGGCGGACCTTGCCTTTAGTGTCATTCTCCAGTAAGATAGAGACCACCTGGTTGTGGCCCTGTTGGAGGGCGATGGCCAGAGGGGTGAAGCCATCCTGGATTAGGGAACACGGGTAAAAGAAGGTAGTGGTGAACAAAGGTTCAAAGGATAAGATACATCTCATTTCTAAGAAAACCCTTTTAATCTGTGAAATGTCTAGAAAAGTGTTGCTGTCAATTTTATATGATTATATTACCATAGGTAATATTTTATATAACCTATACACTAATACAGTACAACTTCCTGCATATGTTTCAAATTGAAAGCCTACTAAGACAGGGAAGCTCAATGCTGTTTGAGCCATGGTATGTTCTAAATATGAAACTTCTACATGGGATGTTACACTGACGGTAAGTTAACAGTAATTGAATAACACTTTTGTCCCCCGGCAGATGAATCCTAATAAGTTTGGTGATACCCTGACTTTTCATTAGAGCCATCATTAGGTCAGACTTTTCAATAATCCAGTGAAATTTCTAACCTATAACAGGGGGAATAAAACAAATAACTTTAGCCATACTAGCAGCCCGGCTCTTGGGATGGTAATGTTCATTGGTCATTAGACCCACCAAATTGTGTGTTTCGACAAATACTGGATGGATTGCCATAACATTTTGTTCAGACATCATTATTCCCAGACAATGTTTCCTAATGACTTTGGTGGTCCTATGACATTTCCTTTAGTGCCACTAGCATGTTGACATTTTTTCATGCAAAGTGGAATGTCTGGATCTCCTGACTGGATTGTCATGGAGTTTGGTACAGACCTTCATGTCCCCCCAAAGGTGAATTGTGATCACTTTGAAGTCTGAATTAGCACCATCATAAGATTTTGTCAAATACTTTGATTTATGACCAAATACCTGCAAAAAAATGGCATTTCTATCAGCCTCACATCTATGTTGTATTCAGTGTTTATTAATGAATTACTTGCCAGTATACTGTATGTGTGATACCAGTCTCACCTCTGTAGCTGTGCTCTGGTTGCCTCCATTCTCCAGCAGGTATCGCACCACATCCAGGTGATTCTCTTGGGCAGCCATGTACAGCGGAGTGAATCCATTCTACAGCACAAATACAAGAGGTGACCAATAAACTACAGGTCCTGAAAAAAACTTCTGCTGTATTTACTCATCCAAATGCCACCCAAAATCCAGTCACAGCTCTCTAACATGATATTAGTGATGAGTAATACAAGAGGTGCAGCTGTCAATGACTTTTAAGAGGATGCATGATTAAACTCCAGCGGCAGAGTGCAGAGGCTCACCTGAGACTGTGCGTTGATGTCAGCTCCTCGTTTGACCAGGATCTTCACTACTTCAGCCTGACCAGCTAGAGAGGATATGTGCAGTGCTGTGTTTCCTTTCTGGATTAAGAGAAAACATAAAAGGACAATCAGAAGAAGCATTCAAAATAATGATGACCAATAGAAGGTGCCACACTTCATGTTGGTATTGTTCTTTATGACCTCACATTAGCAAAACATGGTGAATTTTAAAAAGCTCCACTGTGAAGTGATGCTCTGCAATAATGAACAGCTCTGATGAGTATTGATGGGTCCCAGTTTATTTAAGCAAAGGCTAATGAATCTATTGCCAACACACAGCTGTGGTTGAAAGTAGAATCTCTGTCAGATGATTAAATTCCACATAATTTGATGCCTCTCCAATCATCCTTTATAGCATATGCAGCTAACAGGCCACAAATATATTCTGACACTGTATTTATTATGTTTACTTGCTTGTCTCCAATACTTCTGGGTGCAGTATAGTATTGAGAGCTCTGACACTCAGTGTACTCATGAATACACTCAGTTATGTATTACATATCAAGTGATAATAATAGCTTATTTCAATTGGCAACTGCCACATTAAAACAATTTGCATTCCAATTTCTAAAATGGTCCTCTTAAATGTTCCCTTAATAGTACCCTGTGGAGTTTTTACCGCTAGTAATTCTAACTCTTAGAGTGGCTCCCCACTATGTTTTGTCATGCACAAGGATGCACATGCAAGCTAGGGCTGCACAACTAATCAAAATATTAACGAAATCACAATATGGCAAATTGCAGAAGCTGCAGTGTACCTACAAATCTTGAAAGATAAGTAAGAAAACATTCATTTGGTACATCAACATCAATAAAGACCTATGGTATATCACACTGGCATATGATATTAACGTATTAAAATCACAGTCACATTAAATAGCAAAACATCAGTGCCACATGCATACTTTATACCTCTGCTGTTTAGCAGCTGTTGTGTAATATAAAGTTGCATTTTGGAGCAACACCAACAAGAGTCACAACCTACTCCGTAATGAGCCTGGACCTTCTCTGATCGCAGGAGCTGGAATGATTAGCATTGCGTGAGCATCAGACCTCCGTGTTCACTACTGCCACTACGCATATCACTTTCCTTTAGTGCTCCACTTTCTCCTCAGCTCCATTTCTACACTCTGAATCCTCTGTAGAAGCTTGTTTTTCTCAATGATGTCCTAAACTTGGAACTGATCGTCTCAGAAAGAAGGAGGAGGTCCAAATATTAAATTATATTCCATTTCAGTTTGTGTGGTGATTATATGAAATCCGTCATTACGACCGACTACCTTAAACCTGTTCCTTTCTGGCTAGCGTTTTAGCAGTTATCATGCCAGCTAAGGTAGATGTCAGCTAGCATTGTAGTCCTTATTTTCTTTCTTGATAAACTACTACTAGATACAGTCTATTTAGTATATATAAGTTGGGAATGTATATATATAACATATAACACACAGGAGACACAAAAACAACAACCAACCCAGTGTCTTAGTAAAGGGTTGTTCCACCTCTACTAAGGCACCCAGCTTCTAGCAGCACCTATTCAGTGAGGACGTGTTCCTGAACTTCACAGTGCCACTTTCTGGTGTGAACAGGTCATGAAAGTGAAGATATCATCATAAGATGGTAACGGGTTATCTGTAAGTGGGATAAAAGATGAGCCTTTTCAGGAAAAGACGACCTACCTTTGTGGCTGAATCCACCGCTGCACCTCTGTCCAGCAGCTCCTGGACCAGATCCACGTGGCCCTCCTTGGCTGCCAGGTGCAGTGCATTAAGACCATTCTGGAAAAAGACGAGGGAGGAGAGATCAGACCCGGTGTCCAACAACCCAGCAACAACAAAGAATAAAGACAGATCCACATAGAAAGAGAAGGGACTACCTCGTCCAGGTCCATAACTAACTAAGCCTGCCTTTCTGTCTCTGATTCAGTCTTAGTAACATGTGAATGGCTGTCCTTCACTCTCACATGTGGAGGGATAGACTGAAATATCAAAGCTAGCTATCAAAGATGGGTTAGATGTTGTGCCATGTTATGCTGTTGTGGGGGAGAGCCAGTACTGGGTATGAAGATAAAAATAGTTGTGTGAGTTGGTGTGTGTGTGTGTGTGTGTGTGCGTGTGCGTGTGCGTGTGTGTGTGTGTTTGTGTGTGTGTGTGTGTGTGTGTGTGTGTGTGTGTGTGTGAGTGAGTGAGTGTGAGTGAGGGCGGGTCAAGCAAACATCCTCTTATTTTTCATTCTAAGGTGTTGATCCCTTCGACTCCAATATCATTGTCTTTAGTATTGATTGGTAATGGCTACAGTGAATACGTGGGATTCATTTTAAAGACATTTTCAAAAAAGCAAAGCTTGTCACTTCATTGAAGATTTGGTATATTTCAAACGGCAATAATGCTTACAAATGACTTCTCCTTAACTTGACATACATGGCAGTTCAAAGTTTTGAGTTATTAATTTGCTTACGACCTCTATTAATATCTGTATCGGGCTCTTGAGTGTCATGTGCTGCTTGGTTGGCAGGGAGCAGGTGGGTCGGGCCAGCTCGGCTGACTCAATACACTGACAGAGAGAATAAACTTGAGAGCTAAGAGATTGCCACACAAACGTAAATGTTCAGAGGGTTCTGTCAACACAGATGACTGAAAAACAGTTAACAAGGGGCTCATGGGAGACGCAGTGTGAATGTGGAAATATACATAATCTAATTTTTGGCCTTAAAGTGTTCTTTAAAAAAAATTAAAAAATTAAAGATGTATTTATTTTATATATTAATTTATTTATTTGCCAATTTGGGCCGGTGGAAGATGCTGAAAACTATTACATACTATTATGCAAATCTCACATCCTGGCCCAGCTAGCAATCTTTAGTACTTGAGCCATTGGCAAGCCGTAGCTAACAGCATACATATATAAACATACTTAGGCATTATGGTTGAGATTTAGTGTTGTGCATTATTAGATATTTTTTAGATTGGGGTCAAGCTGAAAACACATCTGATATAGTATGAGCTTAACTAAAGCTGCTAACGCTAACATGCTGGCAAACAGTTTCCTAACTACACATCCAGCGGACATGGAGCAACATTGTTTTTCATTATGAGTTTTTATTCTGTGCACCTGATGAATGTAAGATACAGATTCACCCTCCTTTGAGCTTTGTTTCGGTCTCCATCAACTCTCTTCAGCCGCTAATTGCCCCAGTTTCTCCACAAGCTAGCTGCTAACTTTGCCTATCTGGTGGTTGATTGTGGAGAGGTATTGAACAGTGGATTTATTAGACCTTTTTTGCTTAAAACATCTTCCCACGGCGGCTAAAAACAAGGTTGAAGAGAGTGGAGTTTGAAGGCTGTAAAGCCAAAACGATGAGCTAAAAGAGGCTATTAAATGGGCTCTGTAGAGCTGAAAGGAACTTGGCACTTGGGTGATTATTATCTGTGTGCTTGTCACTGTAAGAAGCATCTTTTCAATTACAGTCATTTGATCCATTGTTAATATGAATAATATTGATAAATAATTTAAGCTTTAATAACGAAATGAAAATAAAGCCATTTTAAGCAACCAAACAAATATTGCCCCATTAACAGCATTCTGTTCTCTTTCATGTCTTTAAGCAGAGGGGGTGAATGTAGGGTTAGTTGCTCCCCTAGTTTGCCCCTCTCCTTTTCCAAGTGACCCAGCACACATTCAATAACCCTTTCAGCAGCACGAGCATTAGGCTGCAGTATAAAAAGAGCCACTCAGTCGATATCTAATTTCCTCCGTGACTATAAAACTAACCCTCATCGCACAGCCCCCTGAGGCTGGTGGTCCCACTGGACTCCTAGGGTCTCTACAGAGGCTCCCTGTGGCATCCCAAAGACCAAAAGAGAGTGACTGTTTGTCATAAAATCATCTGACTATGCTTCAGTTTTCATTGCCCTAAGGTATTCCGCAGCTGGCAGGAGGCATCTGCTCAGTAGCAGAGAGAGATGTATTCCAGCAAAGTACTGCTGTTTTTGGATCAGTTGACACGTCCATGCACCTGCCTACCTCCTGCTGGCCTCATATCACCCTGCACTTAGCCAGTAATTGGTACAACTACCTTTTATAAAATACTAGTAAGAAGCATGGAAACGTATGTTTAAGTTATCTATTGTATGTTTTGATATGTTTTGTAGAATAAATTAAACAAATCACCAAAAACTGATTTTGTGAGCTGTGTGGGATGCAATTAAATGTTCTTGCTTGGCCTTGGAATTTGGTAGCAATGTTCCAGACCTGGGATCATCTGTGAATCTAAAAGATGAAGACGAAGTGGAAGTTACTTAGATAACATAACTACTAACCCCCACTCTCTGGTATCCTTCATGTGAGAAAAAGCATCCAACAGTCTGTTTGAAGTAGCACCTGTCACTGTTCTCCCATAAAAGTCCAGACAGCTATTTCTCAGCTGTGACTATGAGGCTGCAGAGATGAACGAGTTCCTGTGTCTTTTGACCCAAAGGACAACAACAGACAGAGGACGATGGATGAAAAAAGTCACAATTTGAGGACTTTTTAATCACCTTCATATAGAATCTAAGTAGATGTTCCTCATCTCAAATACTGCATGCTAATGACTGACACTTTCTAGTTAATGGATTGTCTGAATGCAAAATTTGTTTTCTGATCTTCTGTCTTTAATATGGAACAACCTGCAGTTCTGCCATAACCCTCAGGGGCCCTATTCCTCTTTGTGCATGCCCTCCATTCACCTCCAGGAAGCCACTAACCCTTTATCATGTACCCTGCCCTGTCCACCCACCCCTCCATCCATAATATCTGTTACCTCATTCTATCAGCCCACATGAACACCATCAGGATTCCCAATTATCTGTTGGATCTATTACACGAGCAATTTTAAAGCAATGCAAATGGGATGTGGTGAAAATCTAATTTAGCAATGCCGGAGTCTTCCCAGGAGAGTGAGGCGGTTAAAATCAGAATAAATACCAACTCATCAGTGCAGTTTGTTATTGAGCTATAATCAGCATCAAACCACAGTAAAACACTGATGCCCATTAGTCACTTAGGAAAGTTTGAAGCCTCTTCTCAAGACAATTAGCAAGGTGCTGAATAATATTTTCTGCTCACAGTCAAGCAAAAAAAAATTTAACTGGGAAATGATACATAGGTCTAAACTCTGTTCTCATTTAGCTCCCCCCATTTCATCCACTGAAAATGCAGTTTTGGTTCAAATAATTGATTGCATGACAGTGTACAGTTTTAAAGCTGCACTGGATTTATTTGGCTGGATTAACATTATTTTGTCAAATGAAGCGTATAACTGGAGCTGTAAGTAATAGTACAATAACACTAACATGTGGCAAAAAACACATAGAGGAGCATACTACGTGACTCCAGACTAATGCTGTAATCACAATAAAGTCAAGTCAATTTTATTTATATTGCCCAATAGCATAAATTTGCCTCAAAGGGTTTTACAATCTGTGCAGCAAACAACACCCTCTATCATTAGAACCTGGATGAAAGGAACAAAGCTAAAAGGTAAGAGGCTTGCTAAAAATAACTGCTCATAACCATTTGGAAATATTATTATTACCAGTGAGACAGGAGAGTCCCCTGTCCATCAAAAAGCATTTACTAATAACTACAGACCAATACTAGCACTCCTACTCAGTAATGGAGTCATTAAGGTCCCTACAGGCGTCGACCTGTGTGGCTTTATGTTTTGACTGATGTTATGGGTTTAATTGTCAAAGTGAGTGATATAGCTTTAGACAAACTCAATTTTTTACCTTGATGGTTGGTTTAGCATACGTTTAATGTACCCACAACAACACCGGTAATCATCATTGATCACTGAAGTCCACTCTGAAATGGTAGCATGGTAACACCATTTTTGGACACACACATCCATCCACAGAAACGACCATGTCAACACACGGAAAGTATCCAATTCAAATTTCAAAGGGTGGTCTTTGGTGGTCAGATGTCAATAGCGGGTGAAAGCATCTCAGGCCTCAGCACCAAACCTTTGAGAGTTTGGTGAGCTTATCCAAACTCTAAAGAGAGGATTTATCACCCATGTGCAATTCCATTGATGTCCATTACCTGTGCATGTCAATTTACATGCAAACACAGAAGAAATATTAACAAAATGTCTGCTACTGCTAGGTTCAAGCTTAAAAAATGTATCTGCCATCAAAGGCCCATTATCACACATACATTCAATGTAAAATATTAAATTAGTTAAATATATTAAAAAAGCATTTCAAATACAGCTACCTCAATAACCTGCTAAAAGATTGTCTTTTAACATGTGGCATTTACTATGATTCTTTTTCAAACCTGTTTATTCACTTCTACCCAGCTGAGATACACCTCATTTCATTTTTTGACAACCGTTTCAAACTTTACGTAAAATCGAATTGAAAATGGGCCAGGAACACAATCAAAGGAGCTCAAAATATCTTCAAGGGCATAAGTGATCGGTGCCAACATCATTCCTACCACATACCACAGGCCCACCAGCAAATCATAGATTTCCACTGCATGTGACTTTTGTTTACTGCTCATTGTGACTGTTGCCAGGACAGGAGTGTTTACATGCTATCAGGTTTCGTCCATGGCAAGAATGCTAATGGGCTTAGAGGAGACTAGATAATGACTAGGCCTAAATAAAGAAACTCTCCCTGATCAAACACAGTCCTCTCCCCTGCAGGAATGTAGAGCCATTTTCATAATGATTCAAAATGTGTGTATGGAGATTAGCAGTAGACAACATGAGCTCATTAGTGGACTGTAGGCTAAACAGGTAGCAAGAACCAATGGACTCACTTAACAGGTGAATTAAAGCTGCATTATCAGTACTTTCTAACATCAAAAATGGATCAATTGAGTGTGTGTTAAGTGAAAGGTGATGCTTGTAGGGACAATCCCATAATGAATTACCACCAACTCTTCCCCTCAGCTCTACAGAGCATTTTAGCATCTTTCATCTTACTGTTTTGGTGTATCGGCCTCGCTCTCATTAACAGTTTCCACCAGCAGGTAGCTGTTCTCAGTGAAGGGCTCTGATAAACCCACTGTGCACTATGTCCCCAGTGAGACACACTGAGAGACTAGCCGGTGAACACAGTGAGGCATTTAGCAGCTAAAGATCTAGCTATATTTCTCAGGAGTTGGTGGAGACAAAATGAGAGATAAAAGACATTTAAGGAAAAAACAATCACAACCTAACTGTGCTACAAAGGGTTTTAATCTCAGAAGGGGATGTTGATAGCTGAAGCTATTATGGCTGAACCTGTTCACTCTGCCTCTGAAAGATATAACAATGCTGACGTCCATGCAGTCTAACACTGTGTATAGATCTTGTCATAGCAGAGAAAGCACAGGTGTAACTACTAACAGTAACAATGGCTCCATTCCATGTGAGGCAGTGAGTTACATCTATGCTTGTCCTAAACTTTTTAATTTTAAATTTTTTTTAAAAAGTTTAGAGTTATAGTATTAGTGTATAAGGTATTCCTTATTTGGATTAAATGAAGCTGTCAATGGATGACAAATGTTAGAAATTCTTATTGTAGTTTGAGTTCATATTGTAGCATCTTGAGATGGGCTGGTAGACGAGCCTCCCAGCATGCTCCAGGGCAAAAGACTAAAGGATATAAGTCTCATTTTTGTTGTGTTCCTCCATTGGTAATGGTGTGCTGTATCTTCCCACACTCCAGTATACCATGTGTGAATGATGTTCTGGTATCTGTCTCCTACCTGATTGCAGGTGCTGATGTCCACTCCCCCTTTCAGATATTCCAAAACTTTGTCGATGTTCCCTGCCCTCGCCGCTCGCAGGAAACTGGTGTTACTGTCCGACTGGAAGAGACACAGAAGAAATATCTTTTTAGAAAGAGTCTACATAATGTCCAAACCACATTTATATTTGTCCCTGGCTGTTAGATAGAATGGTAACTGAGGAATTTAGCCATTCAGGCTGAATGAGTCACACTCTGTTTAATTGCTTTTAAATGATATGATAGTTATTATCCTAAAAAGCCGTGGGGAAAAGCCATTAACCTGACATGGAATCAAACACAGCCAGACTTTGACCTGATGCTGGGCATTATGTCTGTACTTTTCAAACTACATCTCAGTTAAAACACAAAAGCACCAATGACTGGATTTGAGTAAAGTACACAAAAATTGCAGCAGGAGTATCTGCCCCATTAAAGTCTTAATCTGAATACTATAAACACAACCTGGACCTGTATCCCATAAGAACCAGAGCTAAAACAGAAACAATCCCCCTGTTAGCTCTGTGCTCCAGTAACAGCTGAGCAAGCCTCAGTCCACTTCCACTTCCTGTACTTAGATATGCTATATGCTAGGCTAATCTATGTTGAAAAGACAACCTCATTGTGCTATATATATGCTAGCTAATCTACATCACTCTTTAGCTAGATAGTGAGGCTACATCTGAAAGCTAATGCTAGCAAAACGCTAGCTAACTAGCCACTGACGTTACATCAATCATGAGTTAACTAGTTCGCTAACGTTTGGCTAACATTAGTTAACTTAAGATGTGACTACATATATGTCGCTTTTATCTTTTAACCATTTTATAAATGTGACTGTCTTTTCAACATCGATTAGCCAGGCATATAGCATATCTTAGTACAGGAAACGAGAACATTTACCGAGGCTTGCTCAACTCTTATTGGACCACAGAGCAAAAATGGGCGGGCCTTAAGAAGGGTTAGTTCACTCAATGATACTATCACACTTCTCATACCATGTTGCAACGTGGTCTCAAACAAATAGTACACCAATTCAACCACTTCATAATCTGTGCAAAACTCTTGTGATGTCTTCATTACAGATGGTAAAATGTATTGTGCATTATCTGTGACATAAACAAAATAATGAATACAATAAATTCATGTTTTCAAGGAAAAACTGGTTGGTGTAAACTGGAACTGAGCAGAATCTCACAATAAATCATTATCTACAATAATTGTGCAGCCATAATTGGACATATCTGTACAATAATGTGGATGTCCGGTTTGGGAAGGACACGTCCCCTGTTTTTGGATGCTGAGTGAGCTGCAGTTGGAAACAGACCAGGACTGTAAGGAGGCAGAATGATTCAGCATTTTCCTCTTGGTGCCTTCACTAAAGCTAAATCCTGGCTCACACACACAGCTTGTTCAAAGCTCCCAGCTCTCTGCTCCTCCTGTGGAAAAACACTGTGTGATGCTTATTTTTACTGCATTCAAACTGCATTAACTCCTTCCACAGGGAGGTCAGAGGTCAGATACAGAAATACTGTAGCAGCACACTGGAGGATGGTGGAGACACTTCAGCAGATGTTGTGTTTAGTTTCTAGCAGAGGAATGGTCTCTCACTGCCTGTCAAGGTCACAGTTTGTCAAAAATGTTCATTATTAAGCTTTTTCATCACAGTCTGCCTCAGTCTCGGTCACCCTGCTACAGAATGCAGAGATCAGGGGAACGAGTGCAGCACTGATGATGTATAAAATGAGCAGTGATACTGCAGCACTGATGTCTACAGTACTCACACACATACAAATAGTCCTTGTCTGATGTTTGTGGCTGACCTGCAGTCAGCTGCTGTCTGGCTGCTGCAGAGAACTGCACTGCATCACTCAGACTCTCAGCTACTGGAGCTTTCTGCAACATCGCCACGATCACCTCAAAGGACCATACTGATGTTTCCCAGTGTTTCAACCACTAACTACACATAACACACATTTTAAAGATTGCATTTAGTTTACAAGCCATGCCAATACACTACAAAAGTCAAGTTGCACTGAAACTTGAAGCCTGAGACATAAACCGTTCTGAAAACTGTCCCTGGTGTTCAAGAATGCTCTGACATCTAAGATTCATGAGTTCTTTGTTGTCTATTCACAGAATATACAATATATTCGAAGAATAGTATGCAGGTAGTAGTAGTGGCATAGTAGCAATAGTTGCATGGCCAGATTATTCTGGAAGGGGGCCCAGGGGCAAAAATTTGATGGGGGCCCCTACTGACCACTTGTTTGTGGTAACACTTGTCTACTGTACATAGTAGTTTATGTCTATTTTGTTGTGATTGTTGTCTGATGTTCTGTGTATGTAAAATTCCTTGTATGTGTGCACATACCTGGCCAACAGCATTTGGGCATACAGCATTTAATAATGCAGGGGTACTCATTTACCAATCATTTAAATGCAATAAATGGGGCTTTTGGAAGGATGTGGCAGTTCCCCACTTAGCCCTTTCTGTGTTCCAACCCTGCTCCTTGAGAGCTTTAGCATCAGATAAGGTACTATTGTACTATAGGTACTACTGTACATGGCATTACTTTCAGTTTTTTCACCCTGCTTCCAGTCTAGCTGTAGGCTGAACCTGCTGTACTACAGAGAAATAACTCTGATATCAATCTTCTTATCTGATTCAGGATAAGACATCAAGCAGGAGGATTTCCTAAAATGTCAGAGTGCTCTAATGAAGTGATCACACTGAAGAGTCTGATCCCTTGAACTGAAACAACACAAGCCACAACTCTAAAGGGCAGTAAACACCAGCAGCATCTTGACATGAATTACAAGCCAATGTGGTCAACTGTCAGGATATGTCGGATTTCCTGGTACTGACATGCATCAACTCAGAAAAGCATCAACTTGATCCCACATGTTTGGCACATGCCAGCTACTGAGTAGTCAAGAGTGTGTCTTTGTGATGGGCATCAACAGATGCACATCAAATGATGCGATACGGTCGATGTGTGCTGCACTTAACTGCAACACCTCACATGAGCCAGTACATGGCCATTTCTGCTGAACACCTGGTCACCTGATTGGGTTGTGTGTTGGGGAATTTGGGAACTTATAAGAACTCACCATCATTAAAAAATGCAGCACAATTTTCCATCTGCATTTGTCAAATCAACACCAGGATCTTTTTTAGATTTACTGAGGTGGTATTCTATACTGTTACAGTGCAATGTCGATCTATAATATAAAAAGGAACTTTTCAGATTATCCAAGAGTTTTCATCATTGTCGATTAATCAGTCTATTATTTTCCTATTAAATTGAAAAAATTGTGAAAAATGTCTAAATAATCTTTATCTCTCTTTTACAGGTCTATAAGTTCCCTTTTTTTCCATAGTAGGAACTATATATACTGGAATAATTATATTGAAAATAGAGACACAGTTCTGAGACTATTTTGAGTATATTACATATACTGCACATTTATTATATATAACACTATATATTTAATTATAGCATAGTGTATATTGAATTCCTAACTATGTCTATAAACTTATAGTTGACATATCATGGCTGCTGGAGGACTACATACTGTATACAGCTTTCAAAAATGTCTGTCCAAATGTCAAACAGTTCTGCATCTGTTTTCTTATCTCTTGGCTTGTCTCTGTGCTGCTGTGACATGTCAGTTACCCCCCAGGCTGATTAATAAAGACTGAACTCATGGAAAAAATAAGGATTCTTATTCACAATAAAATAGAAAATACCTCTAATGAGTCCTGGAAGGACTTGTTCATACAGCGTCACACATGTTGGTACAGGGTGAGCATTGTTTTCTAGCAGCACTGCACAAAGCAACCATTACCACAATGAAGCCTGTCTGATACTATCCTCACATTCCCTCCAGAGCCGCCGAGTCACATTATGCAAGACCTTGCCCTAATCATCGTTGTGCGACTGGCGGGTTGCTATAGTGACACTTAGACCAACAGGACTCTCAGACAAGTGGGGCTTTTTAATGAAAAACACTTAACATTGGAGAGAATGAGAGAATTGTGGCAGCCAGCAACCTACAGAAATAGTTTCATAACTCCTGGTTATAAGGAGCTTAGTCAGTGTGTCACTCTCTTTGATGGGGAAGTGTTTTCAATGTGCTGCGCAGATGAGAAAAGCTGCTTTAAAAGGCCTACAGTTACAGGAAGGTCATGTTTGGCATGAGTCGGGGATAAATAGGAACAGAAATAAAAAATTAAAGTAAACAAAGGAATGAAGGTCATTGCTTTTCTGTCTTTTTAACCACTATTAAAAAGTACATTTTAGAAAGGAGTTAGTCAAGAGAAATGAGAAAAAATATCCCCAATGAGACTGACTGCATTATGTGTATCTATCATATATAACTGCATTATATGTGTCCTTACCATAACAATCTATCCCTGCTTCTGTTGCTCCTTACATCTAGACACATTATTCATGACTCAATCAAACCTGCCAAGCGTGACAAAGCACAGTCCTGAAGCTGCTCCACCAACACATTACATCAAACATTCATTTACAGAGTCTCTGACTTTATCTGTGGAGTGCAAGGAGCTTCATTAATAATGCAGACCAATCCTCCACACCCCTACACACACACACACACACACACACACACACACACACACACACACACACACACACATTGAGACACCACTGCCCAGGCTGGGAGCATCCTTGCCCCTCCCAGTTACCACGGAGACAAGCACTGCCCTCTCTGGAGGTAACCATGACAACAAGGCTTTCTGTCTGTCAGCAGAGCTAGTAAAGCACAAAAAACATGAAGGCTGCCGCTTCCTTTAGAACTGTCTATCAACACAGCGGTACGCGGAGGCATCAGTGTGTCATCTATACAAGGTATACTGGATACTGGAAGGTGTGTGTGTGTGTGTGTGTGTGTGTGTGTGTGTGTGTGTGTGTGTAATCAAAATCCTCTGGAAGACAAAATCATGAGTTATGAGTCATCACCTCAGGCAGTGCAGATTGCCTTTTGAGAGCATTTTGCACAAAATGACAAAATGTGTGGACACAGAAGAAAACACACACACACACACACACACAC